TTTATACAGGAATTATTGCCCCTTGAACATGTTGAAGGAGGATTTTACACATTTTTATACAGGAATCTAGTAGAAAAATTGACCAGAAAAATAAAATCTACAAGTAAGTCAAATGGCCTAAGTCGTCAATTGACCCCTTTATATGAGTTACATGCCCTTTGTCTATATTATCTCAAAAACTTCTATGGTAGAAGTTAGAAACTGTGAACAGCAAACATTATCAGCAATACAAGATCTATATTAACAAATACTATCAAAATGGAAAAAAATGAGGAAAATCAAGATGACTCTTGATAGAGTTTTTTTGCCTTAAATGAAAAAATTGTTCAATTAGTTCCATTTTTGCCTACTTTCTCAAATGCTATACCACGGTAATAGATAGGTAGAAACTATAAACAGGAAAATCTTGACAGGTGAGCGAATCTGATTCTTATAGAGGTATGATGCTAAAAGAAGTACTAATGTTAAAAGAAGTACTAATGCTAAAAGAAGTACTCATGTTAAAGTACTCATGTTAAAAGAAGTACTCATGTTAAAAGAAGTACTAATGTTAAAAGAAGTACTCATGTTAAAAGAAGTACTCATGTTAAAAGAAGTACTAATGCTTAAAGAAGTACTAATGCTAAAAGAAGTACTAATGTTAAAAGAAGCCGTACTAATGCTAAAAGAAGTACTAATGTTAAAAGAAGTACTAATGTTAAAAGAAGTACTAATGTTTCTATATGTATATACTTTTTTGTCTATTTTTTCTACTGTTGTTTTAATAACAGTATTTATTGTTACTTTAATTTAGATATGTAATGACCTTCATTGTAGTCAGTACTTAATTAAAAAACTAATTTTCAAATAAACGTACAAATGTACCAGAGTAGAATAAGTTTTAAACAAGAAGAAACTGTGCCAAATTAGATTTTTAATTATTTTTTGTGGTGTTTTTTTCTTTTGTTACTTTCGTAATCTGATGAAGTTGCCCCTCATTTGAAGCAGTAATTATTTTAATAAAGAAAAAAACAAAAAGTTAAACTATATATTGCTTTAGCTACCGGCGGCGTTTATAGAGTGGGTAATGTTTTAGATTGATAGAAGTCAGGGGCTTTTTTCAGCTAAACATGGTAGGTTGAATTATAAAAAAAAATCTATGGCAATATAGTTGCAATGTTCAATGGATAATACTTTTTTTTCTTTTATTTCAATTACAATATGTCTGTACAAAGCGAAAAATTTACACAAAATATTTTAGAAAAAATCTATGGATGTTTTGGATACTTTTAAAACCTTAATAACTGAAGAAGCATGCAGGTTTGAGCTCGATTTGTATATATTTTTCTTTTTGCAAATTAAAGCAATAAAATTCCAATTCATATACTCAGATTTGAGTCGAATTATTTATTGATAAAATATTATGATTGAATTAAGTGGATACTATCTTATAACTATAATTTGATTGATTTTTTTTATATTTTTCTAGATTCTTCACATAATATGTGGACTTTTGATGTTTCAAGTGGTGTGGTGTGGAGAGTGCACACTCAATAATTTAAACTGGTACAAATGTAATTGTTATTTCGGAGATTGGTCGGCTTTTACTCCATGTACACAGCAGTGTAATGGATACACATACCGCACACGTTCTATGTGGCTCTATGAAAACTATGCCCCCTGCCCATTCGAGTTTAGTACATGTGCCACTGAAGAATGTGGCTATGAAGTGTACTATTGTAATACTGACAAATGTCAAAATGGAGGCACATCTGATAAAACAAAATGTTTCTGTCCGACAGGATACTATGGCAGTTGTTGTGAACAAGGTATTTATTAGTTTTAATATTTCTCAACTAAAAGGCATGTGTATCGGTGGACGGTTTTTATTTAGGTGTGGAATAATGAAAAATAAAATAAGATTTACTATTTTTGAGTGGGAAAACAAACTGAGTTTGAAGACAATTTCTATTTGATGTCATGTATGAACTTTCCTTTTTTTCTCTTTTATTTTCGATTTCATTACTCCTTTCTATTAAATGAAACAAAACTTAGATACTGAAGTATAAACTAATGACTTTTAGTAGTGTATTCAGATACTGAAGTATAAACTAATGACTTTTATTAGTGTATTCAGATACTGAAGTATAAACTAATGACTTTTATTAGTGTATTCAGATACTGAAGTATAAACTAATGACTTTTATTAGTGTATTCAGATACTGAAGTATAAACTAATGACTTTTATTAGTGTATTCAGATACTTCAACCTGTTGAATTTGAATCGTGACTTGTAAAATCAATTCTATGTGAATTTGTTTATCTATTAATAGGTCAAAATCAAAAAGTAGTTAGAACAACTCAACTTCGAGTTTTAAAGAGTACACTTTAATCATTTTTTTCAATTTCAAACCTTTGCCTAAAAATTATCCAAATGTGTCTAACTCGAAGTTTTCACGGAGCTATCTTTATAAAGACATTTACAATTTGGTGACTGATGATGTGAGTAGAAATAAAATAAATAATGTTGTTATGTCCTGAAAGTACACAAATGAAGCTTTGGTGCTGTAAATTTAGTGACTGAAAGCATTTAGAAAATGTTCTTGAAGTTTATAATTAATTCAGGAGAAATTGGTCAGATCTCTTCAGTGCCGAGATAAATTATATATTCGGCTTTATTGCTTAAAAGCCTCATTAAATACGAAACACAACTTGGGTCCTGTTCACATTTTTGAAATTATGTATATAAGCTAGTTCTTAAAGTTATTAAAAAAAATGCACAATCATATACTGCAAACAAAACCTTAAACCTCGTGCATTGTTTCGATGCTCTGAAAAAAAACCGCGGAAAATAGATAAAGAAAAATGATAACGCACTCATATGTGTCAAAATAAAAATGATTAATTTTGTTGATATCAGTCCGGCGTTAAATTGGACTGCTATTGTGGCGCTTAATAACCAATAGCTTGTATGATGTACTACGCAAATTATTACAAAAGAAAAAACCTACATTTTCCGTACAAAACAGAATCAATAGAACATTAAGACAACCATGGGGCACATCAAGATATTTTTATACAATATAATGCATCAAGATATTTGTATACAATATAATGGATCAAGATATGTGTATACAATATAATGGATCAAGATATTTGTATACAATATAATACACCGAAAAGACAAAGTCGGACGGAATGCAAAAACCGTTGAATTTTCTTATTAAAAAAGGTGAAAGATAAAAGGTGAATTAAAACTGAGAATTGAAATGGGGAATATGTCAAAGAGACAACAACCCGACCAAAGAGCAGACAACAGCCGAAGGCCACCAATGGGTCTTCAACGCAGCGAGACTGAAATCCCGCACCCGGAGGTGGTCCTCAGCTGGCACCTAAATAAAATTGTGTACTAGTTCAGTGAAAATGGACGTCACACTAAACTCCAAAACATATAAATGAACTAAAATTAAAAAACATACAAGACTAACAAAGGCCAGATGCTCCTGACTTGGGACAGGCGCAAAAATGCGGCGGGGTTAAACATGTTTTGTGAGATCTCAACCTCTAGCCAATGTAGACTAAAGAAACACATAGCAATACGCACAGTAAATCTCAGTTTAAAAGAAGTCCGATGTATACATTTAGTACATACGTCCTCCACACAGCACGAAAGATTAACTCTGTCAATGCAATGTAAAAACAGGGAATGGTTAATATATTCATCAATCAAATATCCTGCACGTACTTGACACTAAAGCAAAAAAAATAAAAAATCCAGAAAAAGCCCCCCCCCCAAAAAAAAAAACAAAAAATGCGAAGCGAAGCGGAATCACTTTTCCATTACTGTTCTATCACTTATATTCGTATACCTTTTTGCAAGCCTATAACACTGGTTTGAGCGGGATCTTATTCTTCAGGTGACTATATCTGTTACATTTGCGCATAAAGGAACAGAAGGAAAATAAGCAGGTATTTGCACCCGTTTAAAAAATAGACTAAAGATCATATTCTAACTTAAAATACCTAATGTAATCTCTTACCAAAGCGCCGATGATTACTGTTTTTTTAATTTAAGAAAGAGCTTCGAAATTACGTTTTTTTAATTCTATTCCTTTCACACACACCCAAAACCAAACTTATAGTAGTGAAAAAATTAAACCCGAAGCAAAAAAAAAAAAAAAAAAGCAGCAAAAGCAAAAGCTAACTCCCGATGAAAGAAAATAAGAAATAATATTAATGTGACTTTGTTTTGATGCTAGAAAATCATTGTATGTATAACTTTGATAAATATTAAAAGGTAAATGTACAATAATAATTAAAAAAAAAAGGCCGTGTATATATGTTTTCGGAACGACAGGAACTCATGCAATCACACATGCATTAAAGGTAAGAGTTAAGTTTCAATATAAGGCTACACAAAATTACTAGTAAAATCTAGTATTTGTACAGTAAGTATACAACTTTTTGGTTTAATCAAGCTTTATTTTTGAAGTTTATTTTGTTTCAATTCATATCCCAAAAGCGCTGGTTAAACATCTTCTTAGATCAGTCTTAAATGGCACGTCGGGTAACTATGGATATTAATGAATCATATATGCATACAGAAATAACAACACTGAGTACGAACATGACTTGTGACATATTTTTTTAAGATTGATTATTTGTACTGAAACCTTGCTTTTTCGTGATATCAATCTGAGACTACTATTGTATGTTATATCTCTGGTTACATATGGGACTATTAGTTAATATATTATGTCCCATGTTACAGTAATCCCAGTATCAACATAGACACTGTGACATGGAAAATTGTAGACTGCCCTCCTCCTTTTTATTTTTAATAATTTATCTTAAACATCCTACATAAGACTGATGATGCATATAATAAACCCAATAAAACAAATCAGATACAAATGCCTTTAAAAAAAGAGTAATAATTTTCTAAGCCAAAATTTAACAAGTATGTCGGTCTCCATTATGAAATATTTCATTTGTGTTGTAAGGGAGACAACTGATATAAAATGGCGGGAGATGCAGATAATTTTGATACAAAACAGCAGCAGTGTTACTTTTAATTTATGAGTTTAAATTATGTAAATCAGACTCTGAACTAAGTTTATTTTCCCCTTACACAGACACAATATATTCTCCGCAGAACACACCCGATGTTCGGATGTTCTTTTAGGTAGTTCATTGTCATTGAGATAAAAAAAAAAAAAGGGGGGGGGGAGGAAGTATTTGACTGTCAAACTATCCACACCGTGGTCGACCACATACACCTTCGTTATGATAGACAATCGATCATCATACTCATTGATGCCAAATTATTTTTCAACTATAAATAATCCATAACCCTCCCCTTTTGATGGTCGTTCCATAATATTAAAATAAAGATAATATCCCTATGTGGGCTCTATATATTTTGGTGCCACATAGGGATATTCTTTTTATTTAGGGAACTATAAACTTCGAAGGGGAGGGGGGGGGGGGGGTATGGTTTTTTCCTAAAAAAATATTCTGGTAAGCATGTGTGACGGGATTGCTTCCCTTCATTAGTAGATACTTAGTCAGCCGTAAGCGGTTGATCTAAGGAAGTACTTCTTTAGCTCAGTCGGTATACACGCTGCCTTGTAACACAGAGGTCCTGGGTTTGAGTCCCGGTGGAGACATGCGATTTTGCAAGTAGAATCATGCTCTCCGGTTACATTTGGTGCCCAACTAAAAAACCTACGGTGGTTAGAGAAGAATTCTAGCTAGGGTATGTGTGTGAGAGTCATAATGGTATGATGACTCTTGAGGTAGGGGAAGTGTGACGGGATTGCTTCCCTTCATTAGTAGATACTTAGTCAGCTGTAAGCGGTTGATCTAAGGAAGTACTTCTTTAGCTCAGTCGGTATACACGCTGACTTGTAACACAGAGGTCCCGGGTTTGAGTCCCGGTGGAGACATGCGATTTTGCAAGTAGAATCATGCCCTCCGGTTACACATGGTAAGGCAGATGACAAAAAAAATATTCTGAATCCAGATTTTCCCCATACCCTATAGTGTTAAATTTTGAAAAAAAAATTATTGATAGCATCGAAAAACTAAATAAATATGTATGCGCAAAAAAAAATCTGACTCAGAAAAAAAAAACCATACCTCCCCCCACCTTGAAGTTAAATAGTTGCTCCCTTACAAATCTTAATTTACAATTTCAAAATTGTGCAGCTGCATGTATAAATATCATGACGTATATTGCAACACAAGTAAAATTATGAATGATTAATTGTAAAGTTTAAAAAAAAGCATCCGTTGAATGATACAGGTTTGTGGTAGGAGATGGTTATATTACTTCATTACCTATTTATCTCATTTTTTGTTTCTGTAGTACCTCCTGGAGAACCTGTCATCACTGTTGTACCAGACACAGTAGTTTTGGGAAATGCTGTAACTTTAACATGTACTTCCAATGGTGGGAATCCTGAACCAACAGTAAAATGGTTCAAAGAAGATGCACAAATTACTACTGGTGTGACTTCTAAGACAGTTTCATCTAGTACAGACAGTTACACTGTAACATCAACTTTGAACTTTGTTGCTAGCCTAGATGAACATCTAAAGGTCTTCACGTGTCAGACAGATAATGGCTTAACTAGTCCACTAAGCACCACAGAGCAGCTGATAGTTAATTGTAAGTCACTGAAAAACTTTTTATATCAATGTTGTTTTAAGTCGTGTTACATTTTTTTTATATCCAATTTAAGGTGACAATTTTGTTAGGATTACATTTCAGTTCCACCAATAAGATCAAGCAATGTTAAACATGTTAAAATGTAACATTAATTTTTAGACAAATGAAAATTGAGGGGTATATATTGGCTGCTTCTCCTTATGAGGGTTGTTACACACAGAAGTCATCATTTAAACAAGTTTTATTGTTTAAAAGTTGGAGGAAATGAATAATAAATTTTTAATAAGCAGTCATATAAATTAATACTAGAAGATGTGGTATGATTGTGCATAAGACAACTCTTCACCAGTGACCAAATTACATAGAAGTTAACAACTATAGGTCACGGTATGGCTTTCAATAATGAGCAAAACTCATATCGCATAGTCAGCTAACCAATTTTATAGGACGTCATGTCATTTACAGTTTAGAGATGTCAACTTTGGAGATATTAATATTTACTTTGTATGTCCATGTCTCAACAAAAACATATATTTAATGTAGATAATTATACAATCATTTGGGACATAGTTTGCTCTTATTACCTTTTTCATTATTAAGCCCACTTTATTCAGTTTAAAACAAACATTGTGACATCATAATTACTGTAGATGGGTTGTAAGGTTCTTCATGCAGGTTTTATCACAAAGTGATCATAGATGAGATATTTTTGATTTTCTAGTTGCACCAGAGGCACCAACTTTAGATGGACCAACTGTTGTTACATCAGGAATGTCTAGGGTATGGACCTGTCGATCGGCCAATGGCTACCCAGCAGGTGAAATGACCATGAGAAATCAAAATACCAATACAAAATTTGGAACAAGCAAGTTTTCAACAAGCACTGAAGAAAATGAGGGTGGGAAATCTTATACTGTTACTGGTAGGTTGAACTGGGCCCCAGTAGAAGCCAACAACGGACATTCCATCTGCTGTGATGTTCTCCATACAACCACACAAGGCAATACACCAAAGACTAAATGCTTACAATTATCAGTGAAGCGTAAGTATCTACTGGATTATTTCATGTTTTCACTAATGATGTATAGAGTTAAATTAGTACATATAAATTGGTATGCAGAGTAATAATATTTTAGCATTTGCAGATCCCCCTCAGTCATAGTTCATTGACCTTGAAAATTTTGCAGTTTACTTTTTGGGTTTCTACTTTTATTGTACTATCATTTCCTTTATTGTACTGTATTTGGGATGTCAATCCCTTTATTGTACTGTATTTGGGATGTCACTCCCTTTATCGTACTGTATTTGGGATGTCACTCCCTTTATCGTACTGTATTTGGGATGTCACTCCCTTTATCGTACTGTATTTGGGATGTCACTCCCTTCATCGTACTGTATTTGGGATGTCACTCCCTTCATCGTACTGTATTTGGGATGTCACTCCCTTTATCGTACTGTATTTGGGATGTCACTCCCTTTATCGTACTGTATTTGGGATGTCACTCCCTTTATCGTACTGTATTTGGGATGTCACTCCCTTTATCGTACTGTATTTGGGATGTCACTCCCTTTATCGTACTGTATTTGGGATGTCACTCCCTTTATTGTACTGTAGTTGGGATGTCACTCCCTTTATTGTACTGTAGTTGGGATGTCACTCCCTTTATTGTACTGTATTTGGGATGTCAATCCCTTAAGTGATTTTGCCTAGTGAACAGAACATTAGACAGTGTTGCCTTTCAAATTTCTATTTTGCATTACATATATATAAATAACACACAGATGAGACATATCTCTGTGTCCAGTCAGGGATATAACTCTATAGGGTTATTACAGGAAATAACTTGCATGTGTTATTACAGATATTTTTATGATTTGTCTACTCTTTAAACCTAAAATTTTCTAAATCTGTAATAGCATATGTTTGTTATTTGTAAAATAAATCATCAACATTTTAATTTTTAGTGGGCTCTAGGGAACTCTTGAAACTTTGCGCAGAAACTAAATGCATAGCCTTGATAACTAATTTTTGAATTAAATTAATACATTTATCATTAACCATGATAAATCAATGAGACAAGGCTTTTAAGTGATAAACTTAGCTGTAATAACAAGGCTTGGTTATTAAAGGCATGCAACTTATTACATGAGACACTTGGGAATTACTGGGAAACTTGCGCAGAACCTCATTACATGCTCTGGTCATTATTTCTTACAATGAATTAAAATAAATTGTAATTAAGCATGATGTATGTCTATAAGCAAATGCTTTGGAGTGATAAAGAGAAGCTGTAATAACACCCTTTAGTTATTACAGGCCATTTTTTTCTGTAATAACATAGGTGTACTATGCTTGATTGTCAAAATATGAACTGTTATATCTTTCTATAGTTAAGTATACATAAAGACAATAGTAATAGCAATAGAACCTGTATACATTTTGACAAAACTAATGATGTATATTGTCCCTTTGAAACATGTTACATACATATGTTATCACAGGTCTTTGAATTTTTAGTCCACAATAACAAACATATGTTATTTTTCTCTAATAACCCTATAGAGTTATATCCTTGACTGGTGTCAGTTGTTTATTTATGGAAAACTCGACTTTTTAATTTTTGCAAAATTGTGGTTAACGTAAACATTAATATTAAACTTAAAACTTCCAAAGCCTATAGAATAACGATGAATTTCTATTGTATTTTCTTTTTTATTTATTAATTCGTTAGTACTTTCTTGTTTTATTTTGTAGCTCCTCTTGCACTCAATGCTCCTACAATCCAGTATAAAGTAAACTTGAATGCAAAAGTTACTCTCTCATGTGAAGTAACATCAGGGAAACCCTCTCAGATCACATGGTTTAAAGATGGCAGTAAATTAGATATAAATAGTAATCCAAGATTGTCAGGAGGAACTGTGATGGCTCCGTCTCTTGTTATTGCTGATGTGGAACTAGCAGATGAAGCTGGGTACGTTTGTCAAGGAACTGATTCAACGGATAAGGTTACTATAGCAACCACAGATAGTATTAAAGTGGGTATGTATAGTGTGTTAGATTTTTTAAGTAAACCCTTTTTCTGATTTCAGTTTGAACATATTTTTAGTTGAACTATGATGGTTTACTTTGTGAACATACAAGTAAATATATATCTTCAACAAGTGAAATTTTTGTAAAGTCTTTTTTAAGTCAAAAAAAAAAATAATCAGCCAAAAATGTGATTTAACTTTCTTGAACAAACCACAATAAAAATTTTTTTATAACAGCCTTCAAAATTGACCATAAGCCTTATGGCACAGGCCTGTAAAAAAATTGTTGGGCCATAAAAAACTTATGGAAAAAGAGTCCCCCATATAAATATTAAAATTTGTTTAGGAAAGAATGATTTCCAGGGTGGTAGGTCTATAGGCTTATAAACAGTATTTGTGTAAAAGGGTAACTATTAAAACTTATGTTTTTTATTTCTTCTGAATTTTTTAATTACAGCTTTAATTTGTTCTGAGCCTGCTCCTGTATCAAATGCAGAACTAATTGTTTCTGGTTTTGACCCCAGTAACACAGCTACCTATAGATGTAATGACTGTTACGAGAAAACAAGCGGTGATCTTGTATTGAGTTGTATGCGTGGTGGAATATGGTCAGGCGTTATTCCTCTTTGTACAGGTAGGTTTAACAATTGTCATGGCGTATAAATCATTGATTTAGACATGGGTTGAACTACATTTGTACTATTATAAACAAAGGAAGATAACTCCAATTCAAAATTATAATTTGCCAAAATATGACAATTCAATGTTTAATCTTAAGTTCACATTGCAACTTTTTTTAACGAAAGCAATCTTTACTTTATAGTCCTCACAAGCACTTTTATTTAGATTGTTTTTTTTTTTGCTTAAAAAAAAAGGATTGCATGCAAATTGTGTTTTGATTGAAGAAGGTCATTCCAAACTGTATATAAGGAAATCTGGGTTATCTGATTTTTTAAGTGGTAGAAAGCATTTGATATTAAATTTAGTTGTCTTTAAATGTTTTCATTGTAAAGATTACAGTACATACAATCATCAAAAGCAATATGGGAATTCTGAGATAGTGGCAATTTTTAAATGCATGAAATGTTGTAATGCATTTTATTATTGTTGGCATCATCGTAGTCCTTCTCACAGGCCAATTTAGCTAATGGAATGATAAAAGGAAATTCCATATTTTTTGTCCAAATGACCTTCTTTAGACTGGTTTTCCCAGATTAGTTTCACTCCAACCTAAGAACTGTTGGGGTTAATGTGTTGACTGGGGTCCACTGTACATGCAGACTACAGCTGGATACCTATATCAGCATCCCTCGGTATTTGGGGTCAAGAAATAGGACGAAAAATCGTCAAAAATGACGCTTTTTGCACTTGATGACCAACTTTTGGGCAAGTTCCTGCCCACCGACCCCCACCTCCTCACCCTAACCACCCAGCCCCGCCATCCCCTACCTTAGATTTAAAGAAATCAATATGCTTCAGCAGCAGGGTAAAGCTCATTTGCATATAATTTGCATATTTTTGCAAATAAACGAAAACTAGACTTTTTCTGAAAACAATTCAGCATGGTAAGTGTTAATTCACTACATGTACAAAACAAAAGAAAAGCCTAGGTAGACCTGTTTTATGGACCCATCCCTTCAACAAATCAGATGCTAATAAATGGCTTTACATTGAAAGAGGACAGAAAGTCAAACATCAATAGCAGTGTTGAATATATTATAAAGTTTCATTTGTGATGTGTTTTTCTTTTGACAGAAATAAATCATTGTTTGAGCCAGCCATGTATTTTTGGTACATGTAGATCTGAACTTTGTGGATATAAATGCGCTTGTTTAGCTGGCTATAAAGGAATTAACTGTGACCAAGGTAGGTATGAGTTACATGTGTATTTAGGAAATAACTTTTCATACATATATTCATATATATTTTATAATTATCATCACATATCCTCTTACTGCATTAACTCTATAGTATTTTAAGCCTGGGTAGACCTGTTAAATGCCATTAGGGTTTCTTTGAACCAAAAAACAAATCTGTACTATTCCTCATGGATGATTTGCCTTGTAGTACCACTCAGGTCACTGGGTCCAGACTGTATTTTTGGCAAACAAGCAATTAAAAGACTGAAATCTGAAATTTGGACAAATATTTTATTTTTATAAAGTATATTTTGAACTGTGACATTCAATCCTTGCCAAAGTTAGTTTGATAATGTTTCTTGGTAGGAGAACAATTTTCTGAACAATATCATTTAAGCTTGAAATCAGATCTATAACCCCCCACCCCCCAAAGAATAAAAAAAACAAAACATCATACCTTTCACACACAAAAAGACTGAAAAGCATGAATCAGACCAAAAACACAGGGTGATTGCAGGTGCTCTGGAATGGTGAGCAGATCCTGCTCCACATGTGGCACCCGTTGTGTTGCTCATTTAAGTCTTATTTGAAAGTTCACATTAGAATTAGAAATGTGAAACTGTTAGTCATTTGATAAAGGTGTTTAACACACAATTATAATTTAACTATCTAAAAGGAGTAAAATTATAATCATTGGCTTGACTGGTAGAAAAACTAAATAATCACAAGACATGGAACTAAAGTTGGTATTCAAACCTGCTTTTTGATTAAAAAAAAAGAATGAATGATTAATTTTTACAACAGATACTCAAGAAAAGAATAGATTATTGTATTTTGTTTGAGTCAATCTTTGATTTGAAAATGGTAAATCACTGTTATGTTGCCACGTGTTTTTCTTATATGTTGAGAGTTTTTTCTCAATGTTGATTGCCGTACAGTTGCCTATAATTGCTTACATCCACTTCATTTGAACTTTGGTCTCATTAGCAATTTATTTTGATAAAAGTTCATTTTATTTGGAAAAATTAAACTTACAAATAAAGTTATCCTCTAGATCCATGAGATATATTATAAAAAAAATACATCCACATAGCTAAGTCAGCAAAGTTCTATAATCATTCATGTAATATGTTTGTATATTTTGTAGAAGTGAGTTGTCCAGTAATTGCCTTGCAGAATGGAGCGATAATGGCTGGAGATAAACTTGATACAGAGTTAACACGGGATCATGTCATGTATAACATGGATATATCGTATGGTTGTGATGATGGTTATGTATTGGTTGACCAGAAAGGGGGTTTCCTCACAGAACTGGTGAGACATTGTGATGAGACTGGTCAACTGACTGGAGAAGCACCCATTTGTGCAGGTAAGAGTTATAATGTATAACTATAAGATATCAAACACAAAATTTCTCAGGTAGACAAAATGAATTAAAGATTTACAAAATTTCAGAAAAATCAATGTTAACATATGCTGGAATATGAGGGTTAAACAATCACCTTTTGTATAACATCACAATGGCAAATCAAAAGAAAAGTGAGGAAATTGACATCAAAATTTAGATTTAACCATCATGTAGTTAATCAATTACAATCAGCAGTTCACATGTAACAACTTACTCTGTACTTACCAATAGAATTAGTGATTTTGATTTTCTATTTAATTTTAGTATATAACCTTTGTACCACTACAATACCTTGTGTACATGGTACCTGTAAAGACTTGCCAGGGAATTACCATTGCACATGTTCTACTGGGTACAAAGGACTAAACTGTGATCAAGGTATGATAAAAAAAATAAGGGCACAGGGTTGACCTAGGGATAGAGGTCCTGTTTGAAATATTAGTCCTATGTTACACGTACAATTCAAAGAGGACAAAGTCTGTACAAGTAATTTTATTTTAAAAAAAACTTTTTTTTTCTTCAAAATTTAATTTAAAAGAAATACTTTAAATTCTATAACATGCATGTACTAAGGCCTTAAACTTTATAAACATTGTGTGATGAATCCGATTTTTATAAAAATCCCTATTACCATTAAAAGGCTTGTATAGTCCGCGGTTTTATTCTCCAAACTGAACCTGCCAGACAGGGGTGCGGACTATAGAGTACAATAAGCAAGAAATAAGAGGAAAAATTCAATTTTGCGAGGTGGTTTGTTTACGTTCCGCCATGTTTGTTATTGATATTGTAGAGGGCGCTTATCATTTTTCAAACTAATAATTTTACCTAATCCATATTAAGTTATTTTTATTCAATATCATATTATGATAAATTTAAATATTAAACGCTTCATTTCAAATTTCTCGTTTCTTTTAATGCATTGCTTAAAATCTGCTTGAATGAAACGGTACAAAAAAAGTAAAAAAGACAACCCTAAACCAGCTTACGATGTGTAAATTACAAAACATAATCGGGTATTATTCATTCTGTTTTGGTGTTTCATACTGACAAATATGTTTTGTATTAGCTTAAGACTCTTCAAACATTAATGTAATAGATATATTAAACACTGTTTTACATAAGGATGGAACTGTTTTATGTTTAAAGTCGTATTATAGTGATATCTATTATGTACGGATTTCGACTCTTACCTTTTTTTAGCTCACCGGCTTCGGGCCCCATGTGAGCTTATGCCATCACTTGGCGTTCGTCCTCGTCTGTCGTCGTCATCTGTCTTCGTAAACTATTTCAAAAATCTTCTCCTCTGAAACTACTGGGCCAAATACCTTCAAACTTTAACTAAATGTTCCTTAGGGTATCTAGTTTATAAATTGTATCTAAAGTTTGATCCATTGACAAACATGACCGCCATGGCTAAAAATAGAACATAGGGGTCAAATGCAGTTTTTGGCTTATATCTCAAAAACTAAAGCTTTTAGAGCAAATCTGACATGGGGTAAAATTGTTCAATTGGTCAAGATCTATCAGCTCTGATATTTGCAGACAAATCTAACAACCCATTGTTGGGTTGCTGCCACCGAATTTGTAGTTTCAACAAAATTTTGCAGTTTTTTGTTATTATTTTGAATATTATTATAGATATATATATAAACTGTAAGCAGCAATAATGTTCAACAAAGTAAGATCTATAAAAAAGTTAATATGACCATAATTGTCAATTGACCCCTTAAGGAGTTATTGCCCTTTAAAGACAATTTTACACAATTTGTTCATCAAGTTTGCTACCATTTAAAAATCTTCTCCTCTGAAACTACTGGGCCAATTACCTTCAAACTTTTAACTAAATGTTCCTTAGGGTATCTTGTTTATAAATTGTATCCGAAGTTAGTATCCATAGACAAACATGGCCGCCATGGCTAAAAATAGAACATAAGGGTCAAATGCAGTTTTTGGCTTATATCTCAAAAACTAAATCTTTTAGAGCAAATGTGACATGGGGTAGTATTGTTTAGTTGGTCAAGATCTATTGGCTCTAAAATTATCAGGCGAATCAAACAACCCATTGTTGGGTTGCTGCCACCGAATTGGTAGTTTTAACAAAATTTTGCAGTTTTTTGTTATTATTTTGAATATTATTATAGATATATATAAACTGTAAGCAGCAATAATGTTCAGCAAAGTAAGATCTACAAAAAAGTTATGATGACCAAAATTGTCAATTGACCCCTTAAGGAGTTATTGACCTTTAAAGACAATTTTACACAATTTGTTCATCAAGTTTGCTACCATTTAAAAAATCTTCTCTGAAATACAGGTGAGCAGTTCAGGCTCTTGAGAGCCTCTTGTTTTTCTTCTTTTACATGTGCTTTTCAAACTTCCCTTTTAAACATACACAAGTTTTTAAATTGTTTTTTGCGTGATTTAGACTTATTTTAACAATCGTGAAGTGTTCTAGAATCATTTACAAGCAGTTTCAGCTTCTGTTTGATGATGGAAAACAGGTTTTTCCAAGAAAATACCGCAAACCACCACACACGATTTGAAATTACCGGAGTTTCATTAGACCTTTTCTAACAGTTACAAAAAGTTTTTTACCTGAAATTTCGTGGGGAGAAGGGGGTGCGGACTATGTACCAGTGCGAACTATACAAGCCCGATTACGGTATTTATCAGGTGACTACTGCAAGGGAAATCTCATTTTGTTTCCTATCTTATAAAACTGTATGTTGAATAAGCAACATAAGATTCAATGATTATTTTGAATTTCCAGACATCACCTGTGCAGAGCTTACTCTCCCCAACGGAGCCGTTGTGTACAAGCCAGATAGAAAGATCGGTAGTGTCGCCACCTACAGCTGCAACAAGGGCTATAACCTAGCTGATGGTGACCTGTCTTCTACATGTAACACTGAAGGGGAATGGAGTGGGCCTCTGCCAACATGTAAAGGTAATGTAACAAGGGCTATAACCTAGCTGATGGTGATCTGTCGTCTACATGTAACACTGAAGGGGAATGGGGTGGGCCTCTGCCAACATGTAAAGGTACTGAAACTTGCTCAATTTTTAACCAGATTTCCTAATGAAAAATGGATTATTGATTTAGGGATGTACGGCAGGGGAGAGGCTGCCAAACAGTGTCCCTGCATTTACTCATGAACCATTCAACCAAAGCTTTTCAAATTTTAATATATTGTTACTGATGACAAAATGGAGGTCAAGTTTAATATTGCCGATTTTCACATTCACTGTTCAGGAGTTAAGGTTCTTGAAAGATTGAAAAATGGTCTTTCCAGTCGTGTCTGTGCTTTAATTCATGAACCATTCAATCAAAGCTTTTCAAGTTTTTATATGTTGTTACTGATGACAAAACTGAGGTTAAGTTCAATATTGATGATATTCACTTTCACAGTTCAGTAGTTAGGGTTTTTGAAAGATTGCAAAAATGGTCTTTCCAGTCGTGTCTGTGCTTTAACTCATGAACCATTCAACCAAAGCTTTTCAAGTTTTAATATGTTCTTACTGATGACAAAATGGAGGTTAAGTTCAATATTGATGATATTCACTTTCACAGTTCAGGAGTTAGGGTTTTTGAAAGATTGCAAAAATGTTTTTTCCAGTCGTGTCTGTGCTTTAACTCTTTAATATGTTGTTACTGATGACAAAATGGAGGTAAAGTTTAATATTGATAATTGTCACTTTTACTGTTCAGGAGTTATGGTCCTTGTGATATTGAAAAATGCCAGGACACAAATAAATGTTAAAAAATTCGGTTTGCTGTCGATCTGACAGCCTCTTGTTACAATTTCAAATACCAAAACTGTTCACAAGGTTTTATTGTAGCAAATGCAGTGACAAACAAACCATTAAGACAACAGGAGTCATATCAATTTTTGAATATTTGATGGATCCCCCTGGATGTAACAGGGGTTCAAATTAGGAGTGGTCCAAAGTCAGTAACCTTCCACTTACAGGTTCAAACCTTCCCACCGTTTGTTAGTTACACCCGATTGACTTTCGTACTTTTGCAGATTTAAAAGTTACAAGAGCATTTTGAACAAAATATAAAAATCAAGAATAACAATAATCTTGAAATATGCCGCTTTTATAATGAAAGGAAAGTTAATTTGCTTAAATTCTTCACAATTGAATTGATGTTGTACAAGATACCACGAAACTTGAGAAAGAATATTAAAAAAAAACCAGTAAATGGTATGAGTCTGTTTGGTTTTGGAGTGACTCCATCCAAAAGTAAACCTGATGAAACAGGGGATACAACAGGGTGATTGATGAAACAGGATATAACGGGGTGAAATGTCTTATTGCAGCATTAAAAGACAGGATCTGACTAAAGACCAAAATTATGACAGGGAAAAACAAGAACGTAATTTTTTCCCACAAACAGTGAAAGGGAAAGTGGCCTGGTTCATTGGACAAAAACAAATTAAAACTTGACCCCATAAAAAATCATAATAAAAAATAACCACCTATCCCCAGCAACTATGTTAATAATCTTGCCAAAAAAGTGGTAAAAAGAAACTGACCCCAAGTTTGAAAACAAAGTTGAGCTGTTATCTGACACAAAGCTAGGCCAGTATGTGTCCTTAAGCGTCAATTGAAACCAAACCAATTATAAAGGTACAAACAAATTTACAAAGTGTTATTTAACACAGCATATAGTGTTAGAAAAAGAGGAAGCCTTTTTCTGACTGAATTTATTTAAGAAATTCAGAAAAAAAATGAGGTTAATGTAGTAAAGATATGTTTTGTTATGGTCAGCATTTTCTGGTTTTATAAATTGAATTTTTCATTAAAAATTGGACCTTCTAGAAATAAAGGAGGACCTTTAAGTGTCTTGGGTCAAAGGTCCTGGACCTTCCATTGCTTAAAGTAAATTTGAATGCCTGTGTAAGCAAAGTCCAAACTGTTCTTAATTTGAATGATTTAATATTATCTATAATAAATAATTCATAACTTTCTGTTGTATTTATTTGGATAGGAGTGTCTTGTCCAGCTCACACTCTTGAGAATGGTGAGGTCACAACAACTGGATTGACCTTTGGACATACAGCTACTTACACATGTAACAGTGGATATATGGTTGCTAATGGAGATTTTAGTAGAACATGTGCTTCTGATGAATATTGGCTTGGTAAAATGCCTGTCTGTGCTGGTAAGTAAAACAAAGTGTGCTTCTGATGAATATTGACTTGGTAAAATGCCTGTCTGTGCTGGTAAGTAAAACAAAGTGTGCTTCTGATGAATATTGGCTTGGTAAAATGCCTGTCTGTGCTGGTAAGTAAAACTAATGGTGCTTCTGATGAATATTAGCTTGGTGAAATGCCTGTATGTGCTGGTTAGTAAAAATAAGGGTGATTTTGATGATAATTGGCTTAACAAGTTGCCTATCTGTGCTTGTAAGTCAAAGAAAGTGTGCTTCTAGTTAATATTGGCTTAGCAAAATGCCTGTCTGTGGTCGTAAGTCAAAAAAGTTTGCTTCTAGTGAATATTGGCTTATAACGAAGTCTAAGAGTAATTAGATTTTATTACATAATTTACAAAGTCAAAATGTTTCTAAAGATAACTGGTTCAAAATTTCAATAAATCGTTTTATAACCCTGGCCGTGATCTTGACAAATTCTGGTGTTGGGGAATTGTGTCGTTCTTGACTGAGTAATTTGAATGGCAAGTGAATTAATTCCAGCCTACCCATGAGGGGGGAGACTTGGCAGAATCTCCCGTTCTAGTCCAAAGCTGGATCTTATATAGTTCAGAGGGGTCATCAATCAGCTTTCAACAATAGCCCAAAACTGTCGGCAGTTTATTGAGTAGTCTAGTTATTAAATAATACATGTACAAGGTTAGGCAGTGGACAATGCTATTAACATATGCAAAATGCAATTAACATCTGCAGAATACATGTATGATAAATGTCTGCAAGGTACATGTACTTGTATCAGTTATGTTAGATTGGAATACGCCTTGTTAAATTATTGTTCCCTCCTCAATTGTGTAACAGGCTTAGCAATATCCCTGCCTGTTCTAGTAAATAAAACAAGTGTGCTTCTAATGAATATTGGCTAAGCAAAATGCCTGTCTGTGCTAATAATTAAACTAAGTGTAACAGTTTAAAAGTCTGTTTTTAATAATTAAGGAACATGTCTTTTATCGAGTCAACATAATAGAATTTAAAGGAAGATTTAAGTAATTCTACGCGTTTCCCCAGGGTCGGTGCTGTTCCTGAAACTTACAATTTGGTGTTCTGTTTAAGTGTTTTTCATATTCAAAACTCCAGCTTTTCAAATGACAACACATGACATAGTATTTGTACACAAAATTAATTATTATTAAACATAGAAGAGAAAAAATGACACAACACTACACAACATGCAACAAAATCACTTAGTACAAATCATATTATTTTGTACTACTCTAAATAACATACAATTGATATTCATATCAGAACATCCCAAACAAATATTGCCAATGTTTAATTTCACACAGATCATTGAAGTCTGGGATTAGTTTAGGTCTCTGTTGGTTTTCTATAGAATGGATAAATTAGGGGATAAATCAACTGAGCACTTGGTTGGTCATTGTGTAAGCGTACTTTCATTCCGCCGTGTATTTATTCCGGGTAACTGTTTTTCACTAGAGAATATTGGATGTAAATAGTGTGAAAGCATCGATCTTGATATCGTTGTTTTGTTTATATTAGACCGGTTTATTGTTTACATAAATAAATGGGTTAAAATTAAAATGATTTTCAAGGAACCAGTTTAATTAATCTGAGTCAATCTAGTAATTATAAATAATATTGATGATGATGAGGAGGATGTTTTTATAACTCAAAATAATTTATCAATGATCAGGACATTGAACTCAATGATATAAACCAAATTTTAAGAGCAGATTTGTTCTTACATAAAGTTTCAATTATAGAAGTCGACCGAAAAGCAAATACACAGAAAAACTTCGACAATCCAATAAATATAAATATTTTTAAGCTTTAAGTTGGATCATCACTATATATTTCTTTGAGATAAAATCTTCTTATACTTTGCTAAAAATGTAAATTTTACATTCCTTTTTAGAAAAATTTATTAAAAAGTATGGGTCAATGTGCTTTTTTCCAAGCTACAAGATAGGTTATTCATGAAAAAACACTTTTTTGTGAATAAAAAAAAAGATGATGCATTATAAATTTGAAAACAATATATGAGAAAATAGGTTTTGTAATATGGTTTGCGAAAATGAAAATAAAAAATTGGGGTTACCAAACTTGTTTTCTTGCTCCAAGTGAAAAAAAAAAAAAAAATAGAAAATTTCATAAACAAATCTTTATACCTTTTTGTTATAAGAGTTGTCTCCCCTTACAAGTTAAAATATTTACAATCCAAGATGGCGATATACAGTAAATCTACCTTAACAATAATGGATATAGATAATGATAGAGAAATTGTAAACAGAAAATTATTTAGATATCTAAAAAGTAAATGGAGATTTACAAATGAAAATCAGTGATGTTTTAATTATTGTGATGATTTATTGGTGGTTCATTTGATTTGTAGGAAGAGGGTGTAGGTTGGGAAGGTTTGTTAAGTTGTTTTATCCTGACTTTTATGTTAATGAATAATGTAATCCTCTGTAACAAAGATGAAAATAATTTCCTGTTCGTGATTTCACTTGAACACATACAAGGCCTACCTTATGGTATGCAAATTTAACAAAAATGAATTCTTGAAACTTTTAAAATTCTTATATTTTTTAGATTTTGGTTTGTGTTCGTCAAGCCCATGTAAAAATGGAGGAACTTGTACAGACCTGCCTGGTGGATATTCTTGTGCCTGTGCAGAAGGCTGGAAGGGTAAAACCTGTGAAGAGACAAAGACTTGTAAGACCAGTCTATGGGACGAATGTGGGTGTTCTTTGGGAGAGTGGAAAGAGTGGGTTGATTGTAGTGAGTCGTGTAACGGTTACACATACAGGTTAAGATCAATCTGGCTTTACCAAAACAAAGAAGGATGTCCATTCGTATTTGAAACTTGTGCACCTACAGAATGTGGATATGAACTTGATTTTTGTAACACAGACTCATGTCAGAATGGTGGACTGACAACATACCAGCAATGTTTGTGTACAGGGGGACACACAGGCCAATGTTGTGATGAAGGTTAGTAGAAACACTAGAGGAAATAACAATAAAATACTCAGAAAAATTCAAATTAAAATAGACGAAAATACAGATATGAAGTTGACAATCAAAAGTGATAAGTCAAAGAAAAAAAACAACTTGAAATGAAGAAAAAATGACAAAAGACTTTACAAATAAGAATATAACAGAAAATTCCCAATCCCCCAGCCCTAGAGCAGAAATGGTTTTAGGTGCTCGGAAAGGGTAGGCATGTCTTGCTCCACTAGTGGCACCTATGTACTTCAAAATAATGATAACTTTTATTTTAACTTTTAGTTACTGTTTCTAACAAGCAATAAATTCAATGTCCCAATGATGTTAAAATATTTAATTTCTTTATTCTGTAGATGTGACTTGTCCAGATCCTACTCCAGCCAATGGATTTGTTTCAGAAAGTCTGACAGATTATGGTTCCTGTGTAGATTTTGGGTGTGACAAAGGTTTCAAACTAGATGGGTCATCCCATAGCTGTTGTCATGCTGATGGTAAATGGTCTGGTGAAAGACAGTGTGTTGGTAAGACCATACAGTATTCCTGTAAACTTTTGATTTTTACGATACAGACACCAGGTTTAATTCCTGAACAAAATAATACAAAAAACAATATTTTCCGTGCTTGAATGATAATAAATATAGTACTCCCCTAAATGTAAAAGTCAAATTTTTTAAACTTCCAAAGTGTGAAAACTTCTGAAGAAATTGTTATAGTTCATGGAGTCTTTTCCTGCATGTATTTTTAGAGAAGGTTTTTGTGATATTATATGGTTTGATTGGTACCAGTGTGAATGTTTAAAACTTTCTAACAATTCACATTGAAATGAATACAATCAACTATATGAAGGAACAAAATATAGAAATATATGAGGTTGCTTCTTATATTATGCAAATATTTTATTTTTATATGATTTACAGGATAAAATACAGTACAATGAAAAGGGAGAAACATTTTTAACTTGCACGATGGAATTTAGGAGTTTAATGTTTATGTACTGTATAAAAAAAAAATGAATTTACCAGTCCGATATATAATTAAAATTCCATGGTGCTGTAATTTGTGTTTTAAAATGTCTTGGATTTTTAGGGCTTTTATAAAAACCAATTAAAACGTTACTTTATATTTATATGATGTAGTTATAACATACCAAGATATCCACTGTACAAATTGCCTTGTAGAGTATGCTGATCTTAAAAATCTAATGGCAGCCAATATTTTTAAACAGTTCAGAATTCCAGTTAATAAAACTGGTTCATACGATTTTTTACTCTTTCAGGAATTGTATGTCCAGCTTTTGATGTGGTCAATGGAGCCATATCTGTAACTGATGGAGTCAATTACGGAAGTACAGCTACTATTACATGTAACACTGGATACAATTTGAATGGAGCAGGTACAGCAACTTGTGAGGATGGAGGTGTATGGTCTGCTCCTAAACCTGTCTGTGAAAGTAAGTGTTAAAATTGAGAATGGAAATGGGGAATGTGTCAAAGAGACAACAACCCGACCATAGAGCAGACAACAGCCGAAGGCCAGTTTTGAGTATATTAAATGAGGGCTACATCAGAAATTGGGTTTTAGAAATACAAAACCCATTTTAATCAATTGTAATTACAATTTATATGTACTTTGGATTCCTATTACTCATAGAGTACTAATTATTGTGAGTTCCAAGGTTATTGGTGAACAAAAGCAGTTCAATGTTATGGCAACAGATTTACCTTTGCCTGTGTTATGAATACAAATAGATGGAGTTATGTATGGTATGTATACAAATGATGGCTTATAATTTGATGTATTTAACATTAACAGATAGATTAAGCTATGGTCTGTTCAGATTTGAAGATTTAAGTACCCTCTATCTTGTCAAGAAATACATGGCAGAGAACATTAACAAAAATATTGAAATCAATTTTCTCATATTACTTGCTTGCAGTACTGTGTAATCTCTCCACCATTGCCAGCTGCAAGGCTATTTAAATTCTGAGGCAAAAACTGAAGATTACACATGACTGAGTTCTGTATCTCAAAGTAAAATGGCTGTCCTAATTTATAGCCTTGCTTTATATATTTTTCCTGATATTTTAAAATTTCTGTTTACAAGTTTTTTTGACCAGTCTGGTCAACTTTGAGATAATTAGAGTTGACTGTCCTATGTACTATACCCATGTGATGAATCTTTCTTATTTAGAAACTTGTAAAAACAAATCAATGCAACATTCCATGGTTACATAACTGGAAAGTAACAGAACTTAAATTTGACAGAATTTTAATCTAAAAGTTTATTTTATAAACATCACTTTTTTCTACATGAGAAAATGCCTATACCAAGTCAGGAATATGACAGTTGTTGTCCATTCGTTTGATGTGTTTGTGCTTTTGATTTTGCCATTTGATTAGGGACTTTCAGTTTTGAATTTTCCTCAGAGTTCAGTATTTTTGTGATTTAACTTTTTAAATAATATTTCCTAACTGGCAAGTGTACATTTAAACAGCTTAAACTGGTTTATCTCTGACTTTTTCAGGAATTGTATGTCCAGCTTTTGATGTGGTCAATGGGGCAGTATCTGTAACTGATGGAGTCAATTACGGAAGTACAGCTACTATTACATGTAACATAGGATACAATTTGAATGGAGCTGGTACAGCAACTTGTGGGGATGCTGGCTCTTGGTCTGCTCCTAAACCTGTCTGTGAAAGTAAGTGACCAGTTAAGTGTGTATTAACTGAGGGCTATTTCAGAAATTATATTGCATAGAAAAAAAATAATTGTGTATAAATTTCCTTTCTACAACGTATATTATATACAGATAAATTAATTGTGATTCATATAGGGTTAACCAGTTTATGTTATTGAGCCCTATTTCAGGAAAACTCCTCATTTGATATTGCATGGATAGAGGTGCTTAATGTAACCTAGTGTGTTTATCATTGACACAGGTGTAACCTAGTGTGTTTATCATTGACACAGGTGCAAAATTGTGTTTATCATTGACACAGGTGTAACATTGTGTGTTTATCATTGACACAGGTGTAACCTAGTGTGTTTATCATTGACACAGGTGTAACCTAGTGTGTTTATCATTGACACAGGTGCAAAATTGTGTTTATCATTGACACAGGTGTAACATTGTGTGTTTATCATTGACACAGGTGTAACCTAGTGTGTTTATCATTGACACGTGTGTAACTTAGTGTGTTTATCATTGACACAGGTGTAACATAGTGTGTTTATCATTGACACAGGTGTAACATAGTGTGTTCATCATTGACACAGGTGTAACTTAGTGTGTTTATCATTGACACAGGTGTAACCTAGTGTGTTTATCATTGACACAGGTGCAAAATTGTGTTTATCATTGACACAGGTGTAACATTGTGTGTTTATCATTGACACAGGTGTAACATAGTGTGTTTATCATTGACAGACTACACAAATGAATTTTATTTTTACAGGACATTCGTTCTGGTAAACAACCTAGCTTTACCAGACCAAATGAAATTTTACCAGACCATTTTTTTTTTGCATCTTATTGTATGTTATCCGACAAAATACAACAAACTTATGACTTCTTGTGGCCTACTCCTCTCCAAAATTCACAAAAACAAAATCATGTGACAAGAGTGTATATTTTGATGAAAGTTGTGCACAATTGCTTGAATGCATTTCAGTGATAAAGAAAAGTAATGTCACATGACATGAAAATTATTTGTAAACTAAAAATAATTTAGAGTTTCTGTATAAAATATTTCCTGTTTCTTCTTTCTTTTTCATATATCTTTTGATTTTCAATTCTAGTGTTTATATTGCATAGCTGTATTTTGTGACCTGCTTGGATTTTTTAAATTTATTTATTGTATTTGATCTGCAAACCTGGAATAAGCCTTATCCGTTCCCGGAATCTGATCCGGTATTGTCTACATTTCCGGTTGATGGCAGCCATTTGTCTGTTGTTTTTGTCATTCAGATATGTTTTTACTCGGATTTACACATTACTTGTTGGTGATTTTCAGCATAAAGCTAGCGATTGAACAAAATAAACATCGCTGTAATGAATAATAAAGATAAAAAGAGATCGTTTGGGAATTTTGTTAGAATGCTTGAAAAATCCATGAAAAAAAACAACACCGGACATTCGGACTGGAATTCAACAAAATTTTACCAGACCGATCCATTATTCACCGGATTTGTCCGATAAACCGACGAATTTTGTGTAGTCTGCATTGACACAGGTGTAACATAGTGTGTTTATCATTGACACAGGTGTAACATTGTGTGTTTATCATTGACACAGGTGTAACATAGTGTGTTTATCATTGACACAGGTGTAACATAGTGTGTTTATCATTGACACAGGTGCAACATTGTGTGTTTATCATTGACACAGGTGTAACATAGTGTGTTTATCATTGACACAGGTGTAACATAGTGTTTATCATTGACACAGGTGTAACATAGTGTTTATCATTGACACAGGTGTAACATAGTGTGTTTATCATTGACACAGGTGCAACATTGTGTGTTTATCATTGACACAGGTGTAACATAGTGTGTTTATCATTGACACAGGTGTAACATAGTGTTTATCATTGACACAGGTGTAACATAGTGTTTATCATTGACACAGGTGTAACATAGTGTGTTTATCATTGACACAGCTGCATTATTGTGTGTTTATCATTGACACAGGTGTAACATAGTGTGTTTATCATTGACACAGGTGCAACATTGTGTGTTTATCATTGACACAGGTGTAACATTGTGTGTTTATCATTGACACAGGTGTAACATTGTGTGTTTATCATTGACACAGGTGCAACATTGTGTGTTTATCATTGACACAAGTGTTACATTGTGTGTTTATCATTGACACAGGTGTAACATAGTGTGTTTATCATTGACACAGCTGCATTATTGTGTGTTTATCATTGACACAGGTGTAACATAGTGTGTTTATCATTGACACAGGTGCAACATTGTGTGTTTATCATTGACACAGGTGTAACATTGTGTGTTTATCATTGACACAGGTGCAACATTGTGTGTTTATCATTGACACAAGTGTTACATTGTGTGTTTATCATTGACACAGGTGTAACATTTTGTGCTTATCATTGACACAGGTGTAACATTGTAATTGTGTGTTTATCATTGACACAAGTGTTACATTGTGTGTTTATCATTGACACAGAGGTAACATTGTATTTTTATCATTGACACCCTTAGCTGGTAACATAGTGTGTCAGTCATTGACACAGGTGTAACATTGTGTGTTCATCATTGACACACTTGTAAAAGAGAGGCAAAGGATAGCAAAGGGACATTCAAACACAAAAGACGAAAATTAACAGACAACACCATGGCTAAAATAGAAACAGAGACCAACAGACAAACAACAGTACACAAAACACAACATTGAAAACCAAAGACTGAGCAACATGAACCCCACCAAAAACTGAGGTTAATCTCAGGTTCTTCATAAGGGTAAGCAGATCAAGTACCACATGTGGCACCCGTCATGTTTCTCAAGTTAGTAAAAATCCTGAATAAGTCTAATTCGGAAGGTCACCTTTTGGGATAATGGGACGGATTATAGTTATACCAATTGGAACAAATCCGTTGTCATTTGTGAAACTGATATTCTATAACAGTCAACTAACTGGTGATGAATCAGTAAAATTTACAAAGGAATGATTTCAACATAGTGTGTTTATCATTGACACATATATATATGTAACATTATATATTTATCACCAACACAGTTGTTACCTGTCCAAAGCATACTATTGACCATGGAACTGTTACTGGCACTGCTGCCACATATGGACATGACATTAGTTATAAATGTGATGATGGATTCCAGCTGGTAGGTGATCACATTAGAAAATGTGGTGCTGATGGTCTGTGGACTGGAGAAGAAGCTACCTGTCAAGGTACTGTTACATTGTGAATAGGTTATATAAAACAGCAATAGGAAGTAAATTACTGTGGATTCAATTACTTTTCGTGGATATTAATTTTCATGGATTGGGGAATAAAGGCAACAGTAGTATACCGCTGTTCGAAACTCATAAATCGATAGAGATAAAAACAAATCCGGGTTACAAACTAAAACTGAGGGAAACGCATTAAATATAAGAGGAGAACAACGACACAACAAAAACACAACATTAAAATGTAACACACACAGAAACGAACTATAATATAACAATGGCCATTTTCCTGACTTGGTACAGGACATTTTAAGAAAAAATTGGTGGGTTGAATCTGGTTTTGTGGCATGCCAAACCTCCCGCTCTAATGGCAATGTCAAACACAACACCAAAACGACAACATCACATGACAGGACCACAATACAAATAAATGGGAGAAACTTGCATTTTCGTGGATATTTGATTTCGTGGTTTTCCAAATCTCCGCATACAAAGCCTATAGAAAATTTGTTATTTGTTGAACATTTGAATTCGTGGTTTACTTGTATCCATGAAATCCACAAAAAATTAGTATCCCACGAATAATAATGAATCCACAGTAGCCCGTACGAAATTATAAGGCGTATTACGCCTGGAAATCTGGCGTAAACCAGGCGTAAGTGGTAGTTACGTGTCCTGATCCAGGCGTAAGGGAACAGGAAACGTAAAGTTGTAGTCCTTATGGGCGTAGAAAATATGGTAAACCTGGCGTAAATTGAAATAAGTAAGGCGTAAATTTTCCTACGGGCGTAAAACTGTTGGTATGGCGTAAATCATAATACCCATAATGCTTTGTTAATAAAGGATCATGGGATTTTTTTTCAAAATTTGGCTCTTTGGTATTATTTTGCAAGAGTTGGACTTATGGCAGCTTTATATATTCAGGGATAATTAAGCTTGTTTTGTGCTTTTTGGAAGAATTTGAAATTGGAATTATGGAATCAAATTGATTAATGAAAATTGTGAAATAAAGGGAAAGTAATATACATGGTAAAAGATAATTATGTGAGTAACTAAGTTTTTTTTTTAACAGTACCGGTAATTTTGAATTCTGAAAACCTTCATCCTTGGATGATAACATTAAAATCTTTCACATTAAGTTTAATTGCAGTATTATCATTGATATTTTGGTTCAAATGACATTAATTTTCAAAAAAACTTACATGTAGTTAAAATGCTGGTTTTATTTCAGGAAGAATTAATTGTCATAATTCTAATTTAAACTTAAATTTATTTGAGCCAGTGTCTGTCTAATATGTATTTATTTATATAGCTTCTTCAATTATTGGTTAATATTTCAAGTTTCATGTCCAACAATGAGAAATTTAAGCAATAGTACATAAGTTTGTATCAAATACACAAAAGTACACAGCTAGGGTAATACACTGATTTAAAATAAGTGTAGAATTATGTAAGGATATTACGCCTGTTTTTTTTATTGACCAGGCGTACTCATTTGCATATAACGCCTGGTTTTCTGTGGACCAGGCGTACTCATTTAAATATTACGCCTAATTTTACGCCTGGTTTCCGCCTCAGTTACGCTTGGTTTACGCCTGGTTGACGCCTGGACATGCATTCCGTAAACACTACAATGACGCCCTGATAGAGTATGATTTCTACGCCTGGTTTCCGTGTCATTTACGGGCGTCCCATTTCGTACAGGATTCCACATTGTACATAACTTATGAAGCTTGCATATAATCAGTGTATATATATTCTCTATTTGTGACAGACACAGAAGGTCATTCAGCTTATCACAAACATTCACTGAAAATACAAACTCATCATATAGGACAGACATGAAAGTCATATAGAGACAGCAACCTCTGCTTCAAATACTCATCATATAGGACAGACATGAAAGTCATATAGAGACAGCAACCTCTGCTTCAAATACTCATCATATAGGACAGACATGAAAGTCATATAGAGACAGCAACCTCTGCTTCAAATACTCATCATATAGGACAGACATGAAAGTCATATAGAGACAGCAACCTCTGCTTCAAATACTCATCATATAGGACAGACATGAAAGTCATATAGAGACAGCAACCTCTGCTTCAAATACTCATCATATAGGACAGACATGAAAGTCATATAGAGACAGCAACCTCTGCTTCAAATACTCATCAAATAGAATGGGAAATGTAATTGTACCTCATACAATGTACCAATTTCCTAACATTTCTACACATTTATTTTGAGTTTATTAAGAGCTGTTATAAACTGATTCAGGTGTTGAAACCAAATTGATCAGATAGAAAGTCTAATGGTTTAATGGTAAGTTTAACTAAAGCAAGCTGTCCCACTATAGCGGTATAGATTCCCATTTATATGACACATGATTAAACACTTTTAAGTGAAATTCAAATTGTAATAACCTCCTGCAAAAATGTTGTTTACATTTAGTTTAGTTTAGTTAAAGTTTATCATAATATTTTTCCTGTTTTAGACATTGATGAGTGTGCCACTAAGCCATGTCAGAATGGAGCCCAGTGTAATGACCAGATCAATGGATACACTTGTACATGTGTTGATGGCTTTGCAGGTGTACACTGTGAAGAAAGTAAGTACTATTTGACATCAGCCTACCTAGGAAAGCACCTTGCAATGAATAGTAGCTGACACGAGAGTAGTAGTATCTGGTATGTTAAACTGAGGAATATTTGCAGAATTGGGAAGGGTTACTTTTAAAGCTACTTTTGCAGTTATAATCTCCAAAAATTAAAAATTGTGGACTTGGGATTCATTGTTATTTTGAGATTTTGATTTTTGTGGTTTTTATGCATATTCATGAACTAATTATTTTATAACCAATAACAGTTATTTGTAGGCATGTCAGCAGAATAAGTAAGAACTGAGAAACAGTAAAAAAAATATTCTGAATCCATGAAAAGAGTGTTCACAAACACAAATGTATTCAGAATGTGTCAAACTGAATTAAAGTAAAGGGAAAAATAAACCATAAACTGGGAAACCTTGCATGTCTGATATGTTGTGATAAGTTTTCTAGACATTACAGATAATAACTCTGAATCTTTTTGACAGATATCAATGAATGTGCTCCTGCACCATGTAAGAATGGAGCTACCTGTAATGACCAAGTGAATGGATATACCTGTACTTGTGTTGTTGGTTATACAGGGACACTGTGTGAAGCTGGTTAGTACACTCATTCTTTAAAGTAAGGCCAACACAATATAGTTGTGTTTCCTACCTCTATTTTCATCAATAAACAGAAATTGGGTCCCACAGACATAATTGATTTAAAGTCAGAACAAGACTAGACAGAAAATTGTTTTTGAATTTTCTTTTAAAAAAGACTACTGTAAATTCAGAAATTTTTGTGTGCATTTGTTATTGTGATTTTTAAGGAATGGACAAAAATGTGAGTTTTGTTATTGCGATTTCAGGAAAATCTTTATACAGATATATAGATCAGTTATCAGAATGCAAGTTCTTATTATTGCAATACTCAACCATTCGCATTATTTACATTAATAAAAACCTCGCTAAAATTTCTGAATTTACAGTATTCTAAAATAGTCTAATTTTTTTGGCAAACTGATGTGTATAGAGGATATATATGTTTTAATAGCAATACAATCAAACCTGCAATATGGTCACCTCTTTTCAGCAGTCACCTGCCTCTAACGGTCACTTTCAAATCCTCCAAAACATTTCCTCTATATAATTCAACTCTTTTCAGCTTTTACCTAATTTTCGTAGGAAATCATCATTTCAGCTTTTAATAATTGCCATTTTAATGTTTTAACTACCTAAATAATCATGACGACAAATGTATGTGTTCTAGTTCAAAATGTTAATCTCTACGAATACATATTTCAAATGTTTTCCATAAATTACAGCACCAGTCTCTGCCATTTTTTGTTTCACTGTGGCATGAAAGATAACTGGACCAATTGAAACATGAAAACAATTTCCATGGACAATGTCCAAATTGGAGTAATTCAGAATATCATTTAAAAAGTCACCTTTCTTGAGCAGTCACTTTTGATACTTCCAAGAATGACTGCTTAATGCAGGTTTGACTGTAAACTTGAATTGGAAGGACACTTTTGCATTTTCTGTGCAATTATGATGTCATGTAGTTATTTTACATTATATTTTCAGCTAGCACATGTTTGATGCTTCGGTTTGATATGACAATTAAAAACTCCTCCATCCATCTAATCAATATCACCAATATAAGATCTTGTTTTAAACAGAGATACCATGTAACCCACTGGACGTAGTGCCTCATGTCACAGTCCTCACAAGTGGTGTAGAGGTTGGAGAGTCCGTAACATATGCCTGTGAACATGGTTTCCAGTTGACAGCAGGAAACTTGATGAGAACCTGTCAGCTAGCACCCTCCTGGAGTGGAATGGCTCCAGTATGTTCTAGTAAGTAAATATGTTTGTACTGGTGGGTTGTATCAGTGAGTTTGTAAGTAAATTTATTTGAAATAGTATGTATCGTTAACAGATTGAAATCAGTGAATTTGTTATTTTCCCTATAGTAGAGTACTACTAATTCTAAACTCACTTGATATGTTGTGATCGAGCTTTTCTCATCTTTCTCCATATAAACTTTGTTTCATTGAGTATTCATTAGTTGGTCCTAGTCAGAATTTGTAATGACTGTTTATTGCTTTAAAAAAGTGGGGGTATACAGTTTTACCTCTGTATGTCCATCCGTCCGTCCATTCATCCGTCAGTCCGTCCGTGCATCTCATGAATATTTTTTGTCGCATCTTTATCAGGAACTACATTACAAGGATTTCTGAAATTTGGTTTCAGGGTTTATATAAGTCAGCTATACCGTGTTATGCGTTTTCAGATTCATCACTCAACAACTTCCTGTTTACCGAACACTTACATCATCTTACATATGACATCCAAGTTGAAAATTTTCGTCACATATTTCTCAGGAACTACATTACGAGGATTTCTGAAATTTGGTTTCAGGGTTTATTTAAGTCAGCTATACCATGTGATGTGTTTTCAGATTCATCACTCAACAACTTCCTGTTTACCGTCAAGTATTTGGGCTGGGGTATCATCAGTGAGCTGTAGCTCACAGTTTCATTTGTTTAATCTGAAATTCAGCATGACTTTCAAAAAAGGTTCTGATTGGCTGAATATTTAGTGATCTTTTAAGAAACGAGATAACCATGATAACTATTGCACCATATTTGAAAAAAAATCTTTTATTAATTTAAATAAATTCTACAGTTAAATGACAATGTTTGTGAAGTTAGAGTCGGTTAGCTATTTGTTATTTTTTTATTCAAAATGCCTTTTTGACAGCCATCACTGATCATTACAGACATTCCCATAAATTTTTAACGTCATAATAGAAAATGTCTGACACAACAATGCAAAAGTGATTGTTGTATAACATTAATAGTTTAAGTGTTAAAGTTCAAAAAAAAAATATTGAAGTATCACGAAATCTCTGGTCAAGTGTCACAGAGTCTGAAATAGTGATAAGGTGTATTGAAATGTGATACGTACGATATGATGGCACAACCCACACTGATGTACATGTGATGTACTGAGTTACAATAGGAAAGGGGGAAAAGTTTAATCATAAAATTAGAGCTTGCTAGAGTAAAACATGTGAGTACAGGTTCTAAGCTAAACATGGTTAACATTAGAAATTGGACATTTCTTTACAATGCAGAATGTTCTATATTAAGGAATCAGATTGTCATTATTAAACCTTCCTTTCAGTGATACCATGTGCCGATCCCAATGCCATCCTCAATGGAAAATTCACCAAGTTAGACTCTCCAGTAATGCCAGGAAGTCAAGTTACATATACATGTGATGTTGGTTATCAGCTTGAGAATGGCCATTCAACTATGTCTTGTGAAGTGGGAGGTCTCTATACTGGTGCCCTGCCTGTTTGTGCTGGTAAGAGAATAGATATCTATAAACATTATGTATAAATATAGATTCTTACATTGGTACCAGTGGATTATCAGATTTATCCAATCGAGATAGTTAAATTATCGAATTTTAAAGTTAGAGCCTTGGTACGAACTTTAAAATTGATAATTTAACTATCAAAATTGGATAAATTCGATAATCTACGAGTAACTATGTAGGAATCTGTTTCTCTAATGATTATCAAATAAGTTTTTTCATTTTTGATAAACGAAAATCCCCTTTGAGTGCCTTCCTCATTCCACAAAGTTGTCACTTTCTTTAACACCTGTTAGCACATTTTGATTCAACCAGTGATCTGATAAAGGTTATGACCCTTAAACTGATCCAATCATCTTCTGAGATCATCGGCAACCACACATTGATTAAATTTTTTTATACAATGAGTCCAGAAAGGAATTTATTGCCTTAAAATTAGAGAAACTACTTTGTTGTTATAACATTGTAATATATTTCAATTATTTTATCATACTATATCAGAGTGTCCAGATGTTATCATTTGGGTTTCCATACAATTTTTTTTATCTTCATCAAACTTGCTTTGATAATGGCTAAATAATAACCCTATTGATATTTAGATCACTAGATGTTCAAGTCACAATAAACTAAGCATGAAAAACCCTTTGGAAAGAACAATGGTCTCTATTGATCTTTAGGATATTATCAAATTTAAGACAGGGTGCATAAACTCTAATAGAGCTATTTACAAAATTTGTTCTTTGTTAACCATTTAAATTCATGGATTAAATTTACCGGTACTCACAGAAATTCAGAATCATTTGTATCCTACAATAATAATGAATAAACATTATCAAGGGTATTTACCAAGTAGATCAGGATTTTTAGGGTTGTATTTTATTTTCTTTTCTACAGATATTGACTTTTGTATTGGTGTGAGTTGTAACAATGGAGGCACATGTCATGATCAGCTGACAGACTTTGTTTGTGATTGCACTGGAAACTACTATGGCAAGCTTTGTCAGAACTGTACGTTCAGATTAAATTTTTGGATGTTTTTTCATTTCTATTTGTTTCCATATTTTTTATTAATTTTTTAGATTTTAAAATGAAACAGTTGATGCTTGCATTGTTCAAAAGTGTCATAAAATTTCATCCATCCTAGGAATTGGATTGGAGAAAAAAAATAACTATAGGATCTCCATAAAATAACAGGTTATTTTGCTCTCACAGAATGCATTATGTAATCTTGTAATTTCCTTTTTTTCACATTTAACCGAAAAATTTCATTCAATTGTATTCTAATGTTTTTTCTTTGCCTCTTACTGAAATCTTAAGATGAGATTGATGGGTAATCCATAGACATATATATATATACCAATATTTGATATACGGATATACGAAAGTTTTTTTTTTTATTCTGTTCACATATAACTGTATAAACATAAGCTCTTGAGAGATTTTTACCAAAATTATTAACATTAATCTTTTAATTATAGTGGATGGTGGATGGACAGAGTATTCTGATTGGTCTGTATGTTCCACCACATGTGGAGAAGGAATACAGATTGCCACACGTACCTGTACTAATCCTCAACCAGAGGAGGGTGGAGAGGATTGTATTGGAGATGCCCAGTCGAAGAAAGAATGTAAACTAACTGAATGTACCTGTAAGTAGGGTTAACTGCTTCTGACCTCTTTCCAAAACTTATTGCATTCTATCCATGAAATTACGGAATACAAAAGTTTATCTTCAGCAATTTCGCAATCAACAATTAATAACACATGGTCTAGACTTTTTTCTAGTGTTTTAATTTCAAAAAATTTGTCTTTTTCTAGTGACAAAATTTAAGTAAGAATTATGAAAAAGAACTTTGGATTAAAATGAAATAATGATTTTAAGTCGTGTAATGAGAATCCTGTATAAAGAGAAATTATCTAGCTTACTTTGTTGAATGTACAGAATGATGTAAATTTTTTTTCAGTGCCACCAAAGACAGATGAAGGTAACTATTTGTTTTGTCATTTATTTTTCATTTCAAGAAAATTGAGGTTGTCTACTTACTAGTTAAAGTCATATGAAACTTCAAATTTAAAAAAAAAGTTGAATTTGTTTTATATACTGGAATGACTAAGTTTTACGAAAGTATGTTAAAACAAGTGTATGTGAACTTTCTTTTGAAAGAAAATCCTTTATTTTATCAAAATCTTCATAAATGTACAGCTATTGAATTATTGTCCTCCCGTACAATTCGCCTATATTTTCCGGTATGCATTAACCTTAACTAAGAGACCTCTCATTAGAACTTCGGTCACAGCACAACACAAGTGTGAGGGGAAAACCGTGATGACAGAATGTTCACAAATGTTCACTGGAAGGTAAATAGTAATAACTGATTCTTAAAGAACAAATTTAGTACAACAAATCATTTAACAACTGTTAAGGAAAAGTTTGATTACAAATGGGAATGCATGGAAAATATAAAAAATAAATATCATGGCTCTATTAATTCACTTATTTGTCACGCGTTCCACATGCTCTGTGTTGTTTATCAATATCACATACCTGGTAAATTTCTGCATCAAACTGGAAAGTTAATTAGCTTGCGATCAACAATGAATGAATGAAATATTATTTGTTGATAATACGTTATAGGTTCTTAATAATATAAAAAAACCAAGCATACAGGACTTAGTTTAGTATATATGCATGCATTGGTTCAATAACATTAAAATTACAAGAAACTTGTTTCATATGACTTTAACGTTTCTATTCTTGTAGGATTTCTGTGTAAGGTACATTTTTATGCCCCCACTGTGGCGGGGGGGGGGGGGGGGGTCATTAAATGTTACCCTTGTCCATCTGTACTTTTGTCTGTATATCTGTATGTGAGTCTGGACGTACGTATGTCCAAAAATTAGTTTCAGTTTTCTTACTTTAGTTTTCCTCAACTAAATGTTATGAAACTTATACACCATGCTTATAACCACAAAACACAGATCAAGTTCAAATTAGGGTGGCGTCACTTTTACTGTTCTAGAGTAATACCCCTTTATAAATGGAACAATGCTGAATTTATCATTTCCGTTCCCTTTAAACTTTAATTTGCCTCAACCAAATGTTATGAGACTTATACACAATGTTTTTAACCATAAAACACAGATCAAGTTCAAATTTGGGTGATGTTACTTTTACTGTTCTCTAGTTATGTCCCTTTATAACGTTATATATTAGTGGGGGCATCATCTGTGTCCCCTGGACACATTCTCCATTTATTATGCCCCACCTAGGGGCATAATGTTGTTCAGTCTGTGCATCGGTTCGTTTGTCCATCTGTATCTAGGATATATATAGATGATTGGTCTTGGTTTTCTGTCTAATACCAGATTAAAGTTTTGGTTTGAAGTAGTTAGACATGATGTTTTTGTATGATAAACTGAAAAGTTGGTACACATATGTTCCTTATGATGTGGACCTGTTAATATTTATATATCAAATGAAGGTTTTGTACAAGATTTCTTAGTTCACTGAACATGGAAATGTGCATGGTGATCTGTGGACACATTCTTTGTTTTTAAATTCTTTTAAACTGATTTGAAAAAAAACTATTAAAAGACTGGTCAAAATGAATTTATTTTAAAAATACAATTGAAATGTTGTTACGTGCAGGAAATGCTTACCTTTCAAGAGCACCTGAGTTCACCCCTGATTTATGATTGGGTTCGTGTTCTCAATCTTAGTTTTCTTTGAATGTTTTGTTATTGTTTGTTTTTTGGCCATTGTGTTGTCTGTTTTTATTTGACTTGTGTTTTTTTATTAGAGCCTTGTTATCTTCTCTATCTTTTTTTCTGAAAATGTTCAAAAGTAGCACATCCATGTAATGTAAATGCATCCTTTTATAATAAATATGATTTGTATTTGAGAGTTAAATTGGTATATTTTCAGATTTCTGTTTTGGGAAAGTGAGCGGATTCTATGCGCATCCAACAGATTGTGCAGCGTATTACGTGTGTCATGATGATACTGAACGAACAGCACTGGAATATTGTGGAGTAGGAACATATTGGAGTCAGAGTTTAAAGGTCTGTGCTGATCCTTCAATTACGGAAATTGAATGTTTTGCTGGAGTGGGAAATTATGGCAATGAAGATGCAACAGAGTCAGGTAAAATTAATCATATTGTGGATTCATTATAATTAGTAGGATATCAATTTTCAAGGATTTTGTGGGTACAGGTGAACCACAAATTTAAATGTTCAAGGAAGTCCAAATTTTCTATAGGCTTGTATGCAGACTTTGTCAAAACCATGAAACTGAATTTCCTTGAAAGTACAATTTTTCCTCAATCCACAAAAAATTGGTACCCACAAATAAAAATAAATCCACAGTAATGCTAAATACTGGATGTCCTTCATACCTTTGAAAATAAAGTATTAAATAAACTATTGCATATATAGCTGTTAATTCAGAAAATATTGCGATGTTTTTACTCATGTGAAAAAATACGACAGTATCAGTTTCGCAATAATAAGGAATTGCATTCGCTATTTCAGTAGTGATTTTCCTCATAAATATTTTACAATCAAGATAATTAGATTTAGCATTTTTGCCTGAAATAAATGCATGGATTAATTTCTGAAATTACAGTAAGTTAAAACTTTGCATTTATATCTAAAAAAAGCACAAACCCTAAAATATTGTGTGGAGATGTCATTATCATTTGTTCTCACATCATTTGCTTATTACATGAAAACTACAAAATACACATGCTAAGAATGCTCATTTATTAAATATTGATACAGTTTGATGCTGTTTAAATGTATTGATTGTTATGACTTGGAGAAAGTTAGAATTAAGTATATTGAAAACCCACTATCAGGGACCCAGTACTACAATTCCTATTCTCGTCACTCGTGAACTTTAAAATAAAACATTTGAAATATCTTTGAATCACCAAATACTATTACCCAAAGAAACCTTGGAATTGATGACAGACCTCATAATAAACGACATTACATATTAGAATTTTGCATATCTGCAGTGGATCTATCAGCATGCATATATTATTTGATACATTAAGCAGTAGTTTTTTCCAAGCATAGTCAGATTTCAAGACATTGAACTTTTATTTTAAATAGCATTACATGCATTTACAGAATGTTGGACAAACAGTATTCAAACAGCAAATGTATATAAATATCAGCTTTTGTCTGATCATGGGATTACTGTGACCATCCCCAACCTTATTAAGTTCAAAGTTAAAGCAACCAATGACGCACACTTGGCTTTATTGTCATCAGCCAATGAGAATGATCCTTTGTACGAGATCGTAATTGGTGGATGGAGTAATTCCAAGTCTGTCATACGGGATAAGAAACAAGGAGATCCCAAGGCCACTCATCTTGGCCAAGTTTTAAGTTCAAGTGAATATCGGACATTTTATGTGACATGGAAAGATGTCCCTATTCAGGTAGAAGATGAAAACAATGTGAAATTGATGGAATGGACTGATACTACAGACCCACTGAGAATTACAAATGTTGGAATATCTACTGGCTTTGGAGCTAGTGGTGACTGGCAGTTTCCATATGCATGCCGAGGTATTTTGATTTCCCAAAAATAGTGGAAAATTGTAGTTATATGATATATACTATTGAGTCATAGCCCATCCAATAAAATTATAAATCCAATGCCATTACATTTAGGTATAGCATTACATTTCATATTGAAATATATTTATCAGATTGCAGTACGATTCAGAATGGTTACCTTCCCGACCCTGATGACTGCTCAGGTTTTATACAGTGTGCTAATGGTGTAAGTTATCCACAGAAGTGTCCTCCTGGATTACAATGGCGCAATAATCTCCTTGTTTGTGACTTACCAGAAAATGTTGGATGTACCATTGAACCTGGTAAGCCAAACACTATTGGACAATGTTGAATGTCTTCTTATTGTCCAGAAAAAAATGCATACCCTTTATTTTCATTTGTTCATAAGAATTTCCAGTTTGTTAATCATTACTTTAGATTTTAAGGTCACTATGCACAAAAATGTGGTCAGTCAAAGGTTAAATCTCAACTTCGAAATTGGTGTACTGAAACTTTAGATATGAAGATATATCACTTGCTGTCTGTCATGGTCTGTTGTCGTCATCCATTGTCGTAACTTTTACAAAATTCTTCTCCTCTGAAACTACAAGGCCAAATTTAACCAAACTTGACCACAATCATCATTGGGTTATCAAGTTTAAGAAATATGTCCGATAACCCCGCCTGCCAACCAAGATGGCCGACATGGCTTAAATAGAATATAGGAATACAATGCAAGTTTTGTCTATTATTTTGAAAACTTTCATAAATAGAGAAAATCTTACAGGAGCAGAAATGTTCAGAATGTTGAGCTCTAGCAATTGTCCATATTATGAAAATTTCTTATAGGAGTTATTGCCCTTAACAAGTTTTACCACTCTTTTTCATTTTTGCCTATTTTCTTGAAACCCTTATAGATAGAGAAACTTTAAATTGCAAAAATTATGTGTCTACATGGTCGAAATTGTCAGTCGACACCTTATTAGAGTTGTTGCCCTTTGATAACGATTTTTACCAATTTTTTGCATTTTTGCCTTATATCTAAAAAATTATAATAGATAGATAGAAACTTTAATAACAAAAATGATCAGCAAGACAAGATCTACAATGAAGACAATATGGGGCAAATCTTCTGATGACTCCTTATTGGAGTTATTGCCCTTTAATGACAATTTTTATCATTTATTTTTGCATTTTGCCTTGTATGATAAACATTAAAATAGATAGATAGTCACTTTAAATCACAAAAATGATCAGCAAGGCAAGATCTACTAACAAGTCAAATTTTGCCGATATAGTTAGTAGACTGTCACTTTATAGGAGTGATTGCATTTAAATGAGGATTTTTTTACCCTCTTTTTTGAGAAAAAACTTAAGAAGATAGAGAGAAACTTAACAGAATAAATGATCAGCAATACAAGATCAACAAAACAGAGATTTTTGTCATGAATTTTATTCTCTTCTACAATGTTGGAGAGTGTCCTTTGTTGAATATGCACATAGAACAAGGTGAGCGATGCCTCTAGTTATGAGAAAGAAGGGATGATTCTAGATATCCATAATAGTATATCTTGTTTCAAACTACGAGTTGAGGTTTTTTTTTAAATTTTAAATGATGTGAAACATGAATGATTCCCAATACATGACCTCTGATTTGTTTTTTTTTCTTCTTCAGAAAAATAATTGAATTTGAAGGTAAAAATTATTTGCTTTATTATTTTAGTTGATGGAGATTGGACAGACTGGTCAGATTGGAGTGCTTGTTCTGTTTCATGTGGGAAAGGAGGAACTAAATCTAAGTCTAGAACATGTACCAATCCTGCTAAAAAGGGGACTGGTGCTGATTGTATTGGAGAAAATATTGAAACAGTGGCTTGTGAAGGGTATCTTTGTCAAGGTATGTCAGGCTGGAGAGAATATTGAAACAGTGGCTTGTGAAGGGTATCTTTGTCAAGGTATGTCAGGCTGGAGAAAATATTGAAACAGTGGCTTGTGAAGGGTATCTTTGTCAAGGTATGTCAGGCTGGAGAGAATATTGAAACAGTGGCTTGTGAAGGGTATCTTTGTCAAGGTATGTCAGGCTGGAGAGAATATTGAAACAGTGGCTTGTGAAAGGTATCTTTGTCAAGTTATGTCAGGCTGGATAGAATATTGAAACAGTGGCTTGTGAAGGATATCTTTGTCAAGTTATGTCAGGCTGGAGAAAATATTGAAACAGTGGCTTGTAATTGTGAAGGGTATATTTGTCAAGGTAGGTCAGGTTATTATACCGTCACTCCGGAGGAGGAATAATACTTCTTTTTGTCCCTCCATGAATGCATCTGTTTATCTGTAACTTTGAATAACCTTATAATGGTAACATACGAAAATATCCGAAAATAAAAGAAATGCATCTTAACTAGTATGATAATAAACTCATCATAGATACAAGGATTAGAATATTGAGCAAGAAGAGCAATTTGTCTACAAAGACTTATCATTGAGGCTCCAATAGAAAAGTTAAAAAGGCCAAATAAAGTACGAAAATGCTTAAGATTTTTAGTGGACAATAAATTTTTAGCAAACTCATTAAGTAACAGATCCGTCAATTTTGTTGCATTTTCTTCAACAATGTAGAAATGGCATACTTTTTACCTACAGTTGTGAAATGATTTAATATGGCCAACAGAAGTAATACAAATCACAATTAAACTGCTTATAGAATAGCTGATAAAGTTCAATGAAGCTAATTCTGATAAAAGTTATAGTTGTCTTAAAATTAGTAAACAATAGAGTATAAGGTTGATTGATTGTTGGATCTTTAGTTGTACATTTGGTAACAAATTGCTTTAATATTATGTGATCTGAGTCAAAAAGTAGTTCCAATCCTGTCATTGATATACAGGTTAATAAAGATTGAACCAGGACTTCAGTGTGTAGAAATAATTATTGTCAATTGAGAAATTCTTGTGTGCATAAATTATTGTGAGTTTAATGAACAATGGTCAAAAATGTGAGATTAATTGTTATGATTTCCAGAAATACAAATAATTTAATGTATTTCAATATTTGAAATGCAAGTTTTATATTTGTGAAACCTATCCTGTAACAATTTCTATATAAATATAAACATCAATTTAGATTTAAGATTTTTTTGTAAAATATTTTTAATGTGCAGGTCTCATGCCTAATATATGTACATTTTGCCACTTTCAGCCGGTAAATGTGTGGTACAATCATGTGAAAGTTGGCAGTATTCCAAGAAGGAATGTTCAGTGACTGGTATGATAGCTGATAGTATGATTTACTCAATGGAACCAGATAATTTACCTGCTTGGATGAAGTATTTGTGTTCTGTTGAACATTATGGTTTCACCCCTCGTCAAGGAATCTGGGTAACTCAGGGCTGCAGAGCTGATTTCAGTGTTTGCTTTATTGAAGGTATAATGGCTTGGTTATATGGCTTGTAAATTATTACAATGAAATGTTTTTATTATTTCTTACAAATCTTTGAGTATTAAAATTACACATACTTTTTCTATGATATAATGACAAAAATGAAACATGTATGGATAAAAGGGATTGTAGCTAGTGTATATAGCAATGAGTCAGCAGCGCAATCACATAAAATACTAATTGATATCTAGAGGGCACCAATAGACTATAGTTTAAACAATTTTTTTAAAAAATTTTCAAAGTCACTCCAGAAATTTATGAATACATTTATTAGAGGTATTTGAAGATATGCATCGATATCAAAATTCCTAAAATGGCCAAAAACATTGAGAAACTCAAATTTCCTAATCAGAATGATTTTATTCCTTTAATTAACAATATAGTTGTATATCATTTATTTGTCTTTATCTGCAGAATACAATGATTGTACATCTAGTCCCTGTCAGAATGGAGGAACATGTCATGATGGTGAAGCCAGCTACACATGTACCTGTCCTGGTCCATATGAGGGAACCAACTGTGAAAATAGTAAGTAATTGGGGTTAGCTACACATGTACCTGTCTTGGTCCATATGATGGATATGGAACCAACTGTGAAAATAGTAAGTAATGGGGATTAGCTACACATGTACCTGTCCTGGTCCATATGAGGGAACCAACTGTGAAAATAGTAAGTAATGGGGATTAGCTACACATGTACCTGTCCTGGTCCATATGAGGGAACCAACTGTGAACATTGTAAGTGATGAGTGCAATGTGACAGACCCAGATTCTTGAGATAAATGTGAGAGTAGGTAGTTGTTAGTCAAGCGTACCTATCTTTATCCACACAAGGAGATTATTATTAGCACAGTAGCTGAATAGGTCATACTTGTAGTACTATTAGGATTGTACCAATGAATGTGGCATGGGGTCTCCCGCTGATAAACCCTACTTTTTTTGTTCTATTTGAACATAAATGTAGGGATTATCAGCATGAATTGTGACCTATCCATGTTATTTGAACTCTGGTGGATAGTTGTCTCATTGGCAATAGTTCCACATCTCATATTTTATATTATGTAGAAACATGCCATATGAATTAAAGCAAATGTCATGTATACTTATTTTTTACTCAGAAGAGGAAAAACTGAGAACAATGGTTGGAGTGCTATATTGTCAAAACTGAAGAGCTTGTCCTAAAGCGGAGACAAGCTATGCATGCTCTTTTATTGATGCATATGAGGCAGTTATTTTGATGCCATAATTGTCAGTATGCAAAATCATGTCAAAATGGTAAAGTGTTTGTCCTGTCTAATGAGTAATATTCATAATGAAAATATTTGGTCACACTTTGACCAGTAAATTCTTTATTGAACATATTATTTGGTCACACTTTGACCAGTAAATTCTTTATTGAACATATTATGTGGTCACACTTTGACCAGTAAATTCTTTATTGAACATATCATTTGGTCACACTTTGACCAGTAAATTCTTTATTGAACATATTATTTGGTCAAACTTTGACCAGTAAATTCTTTATTGAACATATCATTTGGTCACACTTTGACCAGTAAATTCTTTATTGAACATATTATTGAAAGTGAAAATGATCAAGCAGCGTATTGCTAAAATTTTAAAAACAGTTTAAAAGAAATCCAAACTTGTTTCCCAGTTGCATCTGATGCTTTTCCTCCATTGTTTTAGAGGTTCCATGTTCATCTCCTGGAGATGTCTTACATGCCACTAAGACCGTTGCTGGATTAGCTGTTGGTCAGACTGTCAAATATGAATGTGAATTTGGTTATGCGCTCACTACTGGAGATTCAGTGTTGACCTGTGAACTTGGACCTCATTGGGATGGAACAATGCCCTCATGTAAAAGTAAGAATATTTAACAGACATGTTTCAAGTTTCAGGACCTTACTTTCATTGGAGTAGGTGCTAAACAAAAAATTTCTTCAGATCCCAATTGATTTGTGCTTTTGGAAGACTTTAGATTTTTATCATGAATAACATATAGCTCAATGTCAGTAGAAAATAACACAATGTCCAATGTCAAATTGTATATCATTCATACAGGAAATTATACATAACGCAATGTGGCAATTAATATTACACTTGGATTTGTCTATGTAGACAACATGACAATACACATTATTACATCAAAATATGTTTAAAGAAATTTACACATGTTGAAGTGTTTGACACATATTATTCATCACTCTTTATCATTATGCAGTGTTGTAGAGAAATAACAATACAATAGAATTAAAAGGCAAATTGAAACCTCTTGAATTTTAAGGGTCCAAATAAGAGGTATCCCACAAGCCCACAGCAACCAGATTGTTACAGGGCATGTTTAACAAAGTTCAATTTTCCATCTAGGCCAGCTTATTTCATTTATTTAGACTATTTAAAGTACATGTAAGTTTCATTGAAAACAAGTCGATTTAAGAAGGAGCTTCCCCTCCCTTAATTGTACACATATTATCTTCCTCCTCATATGAGCTTTTTCTTGAAAACATGTGTTGATAAATTTGTGCATCTTAAGCTATGAATAATTAGATGAGAAAAGAAATAATTTCTTTTAGATTGTTTATTCATGTAAGCATTAAATTTTTATATGAATGTTATCTACAACCTGCATTTTTATTACAGTTATTGAATGTACAGTTTCTGGATACAATGAGTTTACTATACCATCAGTAACTGAAACTATTGTACCAACAACTGAAGTCTCGTTTGTATGTAAACCTGGTTACCAGTTGCCTGATGGGGATTCAGGAACCAGAACATGTCAGAAAGGTGGAACAATGTCTGCCAACCCACCTGCTTGTAAAGGTAACTATATAGAGAAGTTAAGTGTTTTAATGGTATGATCCTGTCAAAACATATTCTTAACAGTTTTACATTGTCCTTTGACCTCAAAATTTCATATGATGTTATCAGATTTATGAGACTAGAATGTATCCGTACGAAATTATAAGGCGTATTACGCCTGGAAATCTGGCATAAACCAGGCGTAAGTGGTAGTAACATGTCCAGATCCAGGCGTAATGGAGCAGGAAACGTAAAGTTGTAGTATATACAGGCCTAGAAAAAAGTGGTAAACCTGGCGTAAATTGAAATAAGCCAGGGGTAAATTTTCCTACGGGCGTAAAACTGTTGGAAGGGCGTAAATCATAATACCCATAATGCTATGTTTAAAGGATCATGGGAAATTTTTTCAAAATTTGGCTCTCTGGTATTAGCAATGCAAGTTGGACATATGGCAGCTTCATATATTCAGGGGAAATTAACTTTTTTTGTGCTTTTTGAAAGAACTTGAAATTGTAATTATGGAATCAAATTGATGAGTGAAAATTGTGAAATGAAAGGAAAGTAGTATACAAGGCCATGGTAAATTATAATTATGTGAGTAACTAAGTTATTAATTTTTTATTTTTTACCATCAATTTCAAATTCTGGAAACCCTCATCACAAGTTAAATTACAGTATTATCATTGATTTTTTTAGTTTAAATGACATTAATTTTCAAAACAACTTAGTCAAAATGCTAGTTTTATTTCAAGAAAAACTAATTGTCATAATTCTTATTTAAACTTAAACTTATTTGTGCCAGTGTCTGTCTAACATGTATTTATTTATATAGCTTCTTCAATGGTTAATATTAATACTCGATAGAAGTGCCTAATTTTTTCATAACATATACATTATGTACCAAAGATTATGTCAAACAGTGAGAACTTAAAGCAACAGTACAAGGTTGTATCAAATACACAAAGTAGTCAGCTAGGGTAACACACTGATTTAAATTAAGTGTAGTATTATGTGAGGACATTACGCCTGGTTTATTTATTGACCAGGCGTACTCATTTGCATATTACGCCTGATTTTCTGTCAACCAGGCGTACTCATTTAAATATTACGCCTAATTTTATTCCTGGTTTCCGCCTCAGTTAGGCTTGGTTTCCGCCTTGTTGAAGCCTGGTTGACACCTGGACATGCATTCCTTTGTATCTTCCTCCTATAATAGGAGCACCACATTTGGTAATGATGTTAAGAAGGACATTTAACACACTGTATCGGCACAGATTTAATGTGAATATTTGCCTACCCAGTTCCCCAGCCTGGTTGTGACAGGTCTTACTACCAGAAACAAAGAGTACAAATTCATGAAAAGTTGAAAAGATTCATTGAATTATTTTGATGAATTAGAAGAATTTTAATTTGACTATCCTGTTTAGTAAGATATCTTTTATTATATAATCCACTATCTTTTTTAGATATTACTTTTAGGAATACAAAATGAATCTACATTTTATAATGCTGAGAACTTATTTGGCAATAAATAGTATATTGTATGTATTATTTTGAATACTTACCCTATTTGACCATGTATAGTACATATTAATGTATGATATTCACCCCCTTTTCATCCCCCAAAAATTGTGAAAAAAGTCTAGTCCAATGTTTAAAGTCTTTCAAAGGAAACTTATAAACCATGTATTTAATTTTTATTAACGGCTATTAAAAGATAAAAATAATATATGTGTTTCTTTGTTCAATTAAATCTTTCTTGTAATACTTGTGTTAAAGATGGTTCATATATCTAATGTCATAAACTTTCAGATATCAACGAATGCCTGGCTAATCCATGTAAACACGGAGCTACATGTCATAATGAAGTGAATGCTTACAGTTGTACATGTATGCCTGGGTACCAAGGAACAAATTGTGAATCAGGTATGTGAAGCTAACATTTGTACATGTATGGCGGGGTACCAAAAAACAAATTGTGAATCAGGTATGTGCATGTTTAAAGTTGTACATTTATGCATGGGTACCAAGGAACAAAATGTGAATCAGGTATGTGCATGTTTAAAGTTGTACATTTATGCATGGGTACCAAGGAACAAAATGTGAGCAGGTATGTGAATGTTTAAAGTTGTACATTTATGCATGGGTACCAAGGAACAAAATGTGAATCAGGTATGTGAATGTTTAAAGTTGAACATTTATGCACGGGTACCAAGGAACAAAATGTGAATAAGGTATGTGAATGTTTAAAGTTGTACATGTATGCCTGGGTACCAAGGAACAAATTGTGAATCAGGTATGTGAAAGTTCAAAGTTATACATGTATGCCAGGGTACCAACAAACAAATTGTGAATCTGTTATGTGAATGCTTACAGTTGTACATATATGCCTGGGTCTAATGGATCAAATTGTTAATCAGGTATGTGAAGCATATGCTAGGATACCAAGGAACGAATCTTGAATCAGGTATGTGATTGTTTAAAGTTAAACATGTATACAAGGATACCTAGGAAGGAAAGGTGAATCTAGTATGTGAAAATTACAGTTGTACATGTATGCAAGGGTACCAAGGAACAAATTGTGAATCAGGTATGTGAATGCTTATAGTTGTACATATATGCCTGGGTACCAAGGAACAAATTATGAATCAGGTATGTGAAACTTACAGTTGTACATGTATGGCAGGATACCTAGCCAGGAAGGAAAAATGTGAATCAGGTATGTGAAGTTTACAGTTGTACAAGTATGCCTGGGTTTCACCATATTTCATTAAAGTACAATTATTTTGTATTTTAGAAATACCATGTTCAACACCAGAAAGTGTCTTGCATACCATTAAAAGTGTCTCTGGATTAGCTGTTGGTCAGACTGTAACATATACATGTGACTTTGGTTATGCCCATACAAGTGGTGATTCTGTGTTAACTTGTGAAGTGGGACCGTCCTGGCGAGGAATTGTACCAACATGTTCAAGTAAGTAGTAGAAATACTGTGTATTCATTAATTTTCATGGGTACCAATTTTCGTGGATTGAGGAAAGTTGGTATTTTCGTGGATATTTGATTTCGTGGTTTAACCTACGTCTTCATACAAGCCTATAGAAAATTTGTATTTCGTTGAACCTTTAAATTTGTGGTTCACCTGTAACCACGAAATAAACGAAAATTGGTATCCAACGAATAATAATGAATCCACAGTAAGAGTTTTATATTGCACTCAAACTCACTGTTCATCTGTCAGTTCCTCCTCACATATTACTCAGCCCCTGAACAATTTTATATTGTACCCTAACTTACGGAGAAGGGCTATATGGCAATCAACTTGTTTGTTCAACAAATATTTTTATAACATTTGCTCGAGCACCAATGAACAGAATGACTTCATATCTGGTCTACAGGTTTTAGATAGGTCAGTCCATCTGCCCATCATCACTTTATTGTGCCAAGTTAGCAACTTCAGTATATGTTGGATCCTTTTCAAATTTTCTTAAAATCATCTCATTAAAACCTCACAAAGGTTTGATACTTTGAAAATACAGAGCTTTTTCAGTTGTAAAAATACTTCATATTTATTTTCATAGTCAGGAAATTTTCCACTTATCAAAATATACTAAAATGTTGTATTTTTATTGAGAACTTCAAATAAAACTTTTAAAAATTTGTTATAAGGCTTGATCTAGACATTCTTTACTGTGTGCTGCATTTAATTGCACATTCATTGCTTTTTACCATAAAAAAAAATTATATTCTTACATGGAGCATCCTGAAATTAGTAAATAAAAACCTTCATTAGAGCATGCTAAAAGTGTGATGCAATTTAACATCCTTGACTCATCTTTCTATTGAACAATTAATTATGTGATATCATAAGTGAGCAGTAGCTGACAGTTAACAAAACACGTGTTTTTGCCTTTAAGGAGTGTACGTAGCAGACGTAAAATACATCATTTTATGTTGATTATCAAAGTGATATAACAGTTAATAAAAACTAGAGGCTCTCAAGAGCCTGTGTCGCTCACCTGATTCTACTTTGGTTTTGGAAATCATGTAAAAATAGATTAAAATCATAACAGATACCCAAATAATGATTGAGGCCAAATTTGGTTTAATATTGGCGATGTAATTTAATCAAAAGCAGACGACTTTTGTAAAGTTTACAGATATTACCAATAAATTCATTGAAATTGTAGAAAATGACTTTTTAAGGACAACAACTCTAACAAGATGTCAATTGACAATTTTGCTCTAGGATAACAAATCGTCAGTAAAGTAACAACACTAATTGGTTCCCACTTCATAAGGAACATTCATGCCATATTTGATTTCATTCCATTCATTGGTTCATGTAAGAAAACATTTTTATGCAATTCCTATAACTAGGTCTCCCGTTGGTGGCCATCTTGAACGACAAATCAGTAACAAAGTTACAATCTTGGTAAGTACCAGGTAAGCACCTCATAAGGAACATTAATACCATGTTTGGTTTCAATCCATTCAAAGGTTCTTTAGAAGAAGACATTGGTTAAATATTTCCCCATAGTGGTCTATGTTAAACTAAGGTCCTCCTGGTGGCCATCTTGAACAGAAATTGGCAACAAAGAAGCAGCACTTCATCAGCACCTCATAAGGAACATTTATGCCATGTTTGGTTTCATTCTATTCAGTGCTTCTCTAGAAGAAGCATTTATATGTATTTCCCATAGGGTCTTATGTTTAACTAAGTCCCCTACTGGTGGCCATCTTGGATAATGGTTCAGCTACAAAGTAACAACACTTAGTCAGCAAATCATTAGGAACATTCATGCCATGTTTGGTTTCATTCTATTCAGTGGTTCTCTAGAAAAAAACATTTGTATGTATTGTCCATAGGTTCCAATGTTAAACAAAGTCCCCTACTGGCGGCCATCTTGGATGATGGATCAGGTACAAAGTAACAACACTTGGTCAGCACCTCATAGGGAATATTTATGCAATGTTTGGGTTCATTCCATTCAGTGGTTCTCTAAAAGAAGTTCAAAATGTAAAAAGTGAACAGACAACGTACGCCAAATGATGAGAAAAGCTCACTTGACCTTTAGGTCAGGTGAGCTAATGAGATACATTGTTGAATAACTTCTTTGTCTTTTAGTTACAAAGTGTACAGCTCCTAGATTAAACCAATATACAATTACATCAACTAATACTGATGTTGTGCCAAGTACAGAAGTGACGTACACATGTGAATTTGGTTACCAGTTACCAGCTGGAGATTTGGGAACCAGAACATGTCAGCTTGGTGGTACATGGCCAGCACCTGCACCAGCATGTGAAGGTAAGAACTATTTACTATTCATCATCATTTGAAGGTAAGCAGTGGTTACCAGTGTTCTGTGTTCCAGCACATGTTTAACAAACCCACCAGCATGTTAAATTAAGCACTGGTCAGCAGGGTTGGATGTATTAGCAAATTTCAAAACAGATTTGTTTTGTGGTATAAGGGAAGGAAATCAATTTGGAAAATTGTCAGTTTTCTATTAAAAAAATCTTAAAATAAAAAAATAATTGTTAAAGTGTGAAACGGCCATATTGAAATATGTCTTGTTAATTCCTAGCATAGGATCAAATAAATATTGAAATATTTTTTTAATGTAATGCACATTGATACCACTACTCCTGCAGATAGGGGGTTTATCAATTAAGTCATGTCTTTTCCTCCCTCTCTTTTCCGATGCATGAAATTTCTATTGTATTTACCTTGAAAACCAAGAATCAGAGCTTTCTGAAATTTAGTATCTGGCTTCAAATGGACGTACAAAACCGTTTGAAAACCTCAGTTATCTAAAACATATAATGCTCATATATGAAATTTTTGTTATATTTTTCGTCGCACCTGCATCTTCTGTTGCAGAAAGCTCGACATAGGGATAGTGATCTGGCTGCGGCACTAACTAACTACTTAAAAGCTTAATATTTTAGAAGGTGGAAGACCTGGATGCTTCATACTTTGTATAAAGATGCCAATTTGTTACGAAGTTTCCGTCTGTCATATGTCCATTGTCCTTGACCTCATTTTCATGGTTCACTGACTACTTGAAAAAAAGGTTAAGATTTTTTGTAATGTTAATTTCTCTCTTATTATGAGTAATAGGATAACTATATTTAGTATGTGCGTACCTTGCAAGGTCCTCATGGCTGTCAGACAGTTTTCATCTGACCTCGACCTCATTTCATGGATCAGTGAAGAAGGTTAAGTTTTCTTGGTCTAGTCCATATATCAGATACTATAAGCAATAGGTCAACTATATTTGGTGTATGGAAATATTTTACAATGTACATGTCAGTCTGGCAGGTTTTATTTGACCTTGACCTCATTTTCACAGTTCATTGCTCAGTGTTAAGTTTTTGTGTTTTGGTGTGTTTTTCTTAAACTACAAGCAATAAGTCAACTATATTTGGTGTATGGAAGGATTGTAAGGTGTACATGTCCAACTGGCAGGTGTCATCTGACCTTGAACTCATTTTCATGGTTCATTGGTCAGTTTTAAACTTTCATGGTGAAGTTTGTTTCTAAGATACTATAAACAATAGCTCAACTATATTTAATGCATAGATTGATTGTAAGGTGTACATGTCTGTCTGGCATGGTTCATCTGACCTTGATCTCGTTTTAATGGTTCAATGGTCAATGTTGAATTTTCTTGGTTAAGTTTGTTTTTTTAGAAACTATAAGCAATAAATCAACTATATTTTGTGTATAGAAGGATTGTAAGGTGTACATGTATTTCCTGTTTGGTTTATCTGACCTTGGCCTCATTTTCTTGGATCATGTTAAGTTTATGTGATACTTGTAGTAAAGCTTTATATTTAGGACTATCAACATAAAATATATGATCAGTAAAGCAGGTGAGACATATCAGCGTGTGCACTCTTGTTTAGAGAACAACATATCATATCACCTTGAAAATTGGTATTAATATTGCTGTAAGCAAGCTATACCATGATGTACCTTTTTAAAATCATTTGCCCATCAACTTCCTGTTAATGGAATACTTAGTGTAGGAGATATCATAATTGAGCAGTGGCTGACAGATAACAATTTAAGTGTTTTTGCATTTAAAGAGTGTGATAGACTCGTAATGAATCATACAAAGTTGATAAAATAATTGATATCTAAATAACTAAATAATAAAAATGTGGCACAATTTCTTTGTTTTTAGTTATAAAATGTGCTGCTCCTGGATTAAACCAATATACAATTACATCAACTAATACTGATGTTGTGCCAAGTACAGAAGTGACATACACATGTGAATTTGGTTACCAGTTACCAGCTGGAGATTTGGGAACCAGAATATGTCAGCTTGGTGGTACATGGCCAGCACCTGCACCAGCATGTGAAGGTAAGAACTATTTATCACTCATCATCATTTGAAAGTAAGCAGTGATTACCAGTGTTCTGTGTTCCAGCACATGGGCAACAAACCCACCAGCATATATAAAAGTAAGCACTGGTCAGTAGGTTTGGATATATTAGCAAGACTCAAATAAGATTTGTTTTGTGGTATAAAGAAAGCAAATCATTTGTGAAAATTGTCACTTTTCTATTATAAAAATCTTCAATATAAAAAGGCCATATGGAAATATGTTTATAATTCCTAGCATATGATGAAATAAATATAGAAATATTTTTTTAATTCTATGCACATTGATACCACTGCTCCTCAGGATGGTGATTTTACTGTTTTATTCACGTCTATTCCTCCCTCTCTTTGTCAATCACATGAAATTTCTATTGTATTTTCCCTTAAAAACTATTTGATATATTTTCCCATTAGAAGCTCATCAACTTCCTGTTTAGGAAAAAATTCCTTAGTTTTTGTTGAGCAAGTCGCAGAAAGCTCGACATAGGGATAGTGATCTGTCAGCAGCGGCAGTGGTGACAAACTTCTTAGAAGCTTAATATTTCAGTAGGTAGAAGACCTTGATGCTTCATACTTTGTATATACATGTAGATGCCTTATGATATGAAGTTTCTGTTTGTCATATGTCCATTGTCCTTGACCTCATTTTCATGGTTCAGTGACTACTTGAAAAAAAAGTTAAGATTTTTTGTAATGTCAATTTCTCTGTTATAAAGAGCTATAGGATAACATCATTTGGTATGTGCATACCTCGCAAGGTTCTCATGTCTGTCAGACAGTTTTCACTTGACCTCGACCTCTTTTCATGGATCAGTGAAGAAGGTTAAATTTTAGTGGTCAAGTCCATATATAAGATACTATAACCAATAGATTTACTATATTTGGTTTAAGAAGTGATTGTAAGGTGAACATGTCCAACTTGCAGGTGTCATCTGACCTTGACCTCATTTTCACAGTTCATTGCTCAGTGTTAAGTTTTTGTGTTTTGGTGTGTTTTTCTTAAACTACAAGCAATAGGTCAACTATATTTGGTGTATGGAAGGATTGTAAGGTGTACATGTCCAACTGGCAGGTGTCATCTGACCTTGAACTCATTTTCATGGATCATTGGTCAGTTTTGAACTTTCATGGTGAAGTTTGTTTCTTAGATACTATAAACAATAGCACAACTATATTTAATGCATAGATTGATTGTAAGGTGTACATGTCTGTCTGGCATGGTTCATCTGACCTTGATCTCGTTTTCATGGTTCATTGGTCAATGTTGAATTTTCATGGTTAAGTTTGTTTTTTTAGAAACTATAAGCAATAAATCAACTATATTTTGTGTATAGAATGATTGTAAGGTGTACATGTATTTCCTGTTTGGTTTATCTGACCTTGGCCTCATTTTCTTGGATCATGTTAAGTTTATTTGCTACTTGTTGTAAAGCTTTATATTTAGGACTATCAACATAAAATCAATGATCAGTAAAGCAGGTGAGACATATCAGCGTGTGCACTCTTGTTTAGAGAACAACATATCATATCACCTTGAAAATTGGTATTAATATTGCTGTAAGCAAGCTATACCATGATGTACCTTTTTAAAATCATTTGCCCATCAACTTCCTGTTAATGGAATACTTAGTGTAGGAGATATCATAATTGAGCAGTGGCTGACAGATAACAATTTAAATGTTTTTGCATTTAAAGAGTGTGATAGACTCTTAATGAATCATACAAAGTTGATAAAATAATTGATATCTAAATAACTAAATAATAAAAATGTGGCACAATTTCTTTGTTTTTAGTTATAAAATGTGCTGCTCCTGGATTAAACCAATATACAATTACATCAACTAATACTGATGTTGTGCCAAGTACAGAAGTGACATACACATGTGAATTTGGTTACCAGTTACCAGCTGGAGATTTGGGAACCAGAATATGTCAGCTTGGTGGTACATGGCCAGCACCTGCACCAGCATGTGAAGGTAAGAACTATTTATCACTCATCATCATTTGAAAGTAAGCAGTGATTACCAGTGTCCTGTTTTCCAGCACATGGGCAACAAACCCACCAGCATGTATAAAAGTAAGCACTGGTCAGTAGGTTTGGATATATTAGCAAGACTCAAATAAGATTTGTTTTGTGGTATAAAGAAAGCAAATCATTTGTGAAAATTGTCACTTTTCTATTATAAAAATCTTCAATATAAAAAGGCCATATGGAAATATGTTTACAATTCCTAGCATATGATCAAATAAATATAGAAATATTTTTTTAATTCTATGCACATTGATACCACTGCTCCTCAGGATGGTGATTTTACTGTTTTATTCACGTCTATTCCTCCCTCTCTTTGTCAATCACATGAAATTTCTATTGTGTTTTCCCTTAAAAACTATTTGATATATTTTCCCATTAGAAGCTCATCAACTTCCTGTTTAGGAAAAAATTCCTTAGTTTTTGTTGAGCTTGCGACTTCTGTCGCAGAAAGCTCGACATAGGGATAGTGATCTGGCAGCAGCGGCAGTGGTGACAAACTTCTTAGAAGCTTAATATTTCAGTAGGTAGAAGACCTTGATGCTTCATACTTTGTATATACATGTAGATGCCTTATGATATGAAGTTTCTGTTTGTCATATGTCCATTGTCCTTGACCTCATTTTCATGGTTCAGTGACTACTTGAAAAAAAAGTTAAGATTTTTTGTAATGTCAATTTCTCTGTTATAAAGAGCTATAGGATAACATCATTTGGTATGTGCATACCTCGCAAGGTTCTCATGTCTGTCAGACAGTTTTCACTTCACCTCGACCTCATTTCATGGATCATTGAAGAAGGTTAAGTTTTCGTGGTCAAGTGTATATATAAGATACTATAACCAATAGGTTTACTATATTTGGTTTAAGAAATGATTGTAAGGTGTACATGTCCAACTTGCAGGTGTCATCTGACCTTGACCTTATTTTCATGGTTCAGTGGTCAAAGTTAAATTTTTGTGTTTTGGTCTGTTTTTCTAATACTGTCTGCACTAGGTGAACTTTATTTGGTGTATGGAAATATTTTACGATGCACATGTCAGTCCGGCAAGTTTATTTGACCTTGACTTTATTTTTAAGGTTCATTGCTCAATGTTAAGTTTTTTGTGCTATAGTCTGTTTTTCTAATACTGAATGCAATAGGTCAACTATATTTGGTGTATGGAAATATTTTACGATGTACATGTCAGTCTGGCAAGTTTTATTTGACCATGACCTCATTTTCATGGTTCATTGCTCAATGTTAAGTTTTTGTGTTTTGGTCTGTTTTCATTTAACTTTAAGCAATAGGTCAACTATATTTGGTGTATGGAATGATTTTATGGTGTATATGTCTGTCTGGCAGGTATCATCTGATCTTCACCTCATTTTTATTGTTCATTGGTCAATGTTTAGTTTTCCTGGTTGTCTTTGTTTCTTAGATACTATCAGAAAGAAAGTCAACTATATTTATACCCCACGCAAGGAGTTGCGGAGGGTATAATGTTTTTGACCCGTCCGTCCGTCTGTCCGTCTGTCCGTCTGTCAGTCCGTCAGTCCTGTTTCTTGTCATCGCAACTCCTCTCAAACCACACAACAGAATTTCACGAAACCTTTTTAGATAATAAGGACATACTATGTAGATGTGCATATCGACAGGAAATTATGGTTCAATTTTTTTTCTAGGAGTTACGCCCCTTTGAACTTATTTGCTTCAATGTACTACTGCAACAGTTTGTCATCGCAACTCTTCTGATACCACACAACAGAATTTCATGAAACCTTTTTAGATAATAAGGACATACTATGTAGATGTGCATATCGACAGGAAATTACGGTTCAATTTTTTTTCTAGGAGTTACGCCCCTTTGAACTTATTTGCTTCAATGTACTACTGCAACAGTTTGTCATCGCAACTCCTCTGATACCACACAACAGAATTTCAGGAAACCTTTTTAGATAATAAGGACATACTATGTAGATGTGCATATCGACAGGAAATTACGGTTCAATTTTTTTTCTAGGAGTTACGTCCCTTTGAACTTATTTGCTTCAATGTACTACTGCAACGGTTTGTCATCGCAACTCCTCTGATACCACACAACAGAATTTCATGAAACCTTTTTAGATAATAAGGACATACTATGTAGATGTGCATATCGACAGGAAATTACGGTTCAATTTTTTTTCTAGGAGTTACGCCCCTTTGAACTTATTGCTTCAATGTACTACTGCAACAGTTTGTCATCGCAACTCCTCTGAAACCACACAACAGAATTTCATGAAACTTTGTAGATGATAAGGACATACTATGTAGATGTGCATATCGACAGGAAATTATGATTCAATTTTTTTTCTAGGAGTTACGCCCCTTTGAACTTATTTGGTTCAATGTACTTCTACAACAGTTTGGCATAGCAACTCCTCTGAAACCACACAACATTATTTCATGAAACTTTGTAGATAATAAGGACATACTATGTAGATGTGCATATTGACAGGAAATTATGATTCAATTTTTTTTTCTCATACAATTTTTTTTTCTTACACTTATTTTATTTCTCCAATGACAATGTGGGGACGTGGGGTATGTGAGCGCGCTCACTAAGGTTCTTTAATTGATGCATGGAATGATTTTAAGGTGTACATGTATGTCTGGCAGGGTTCATCTGACCTTGACCTTCATTTTCATGGTTCATTGGTCAATATAGAATTTCCATGGTTTGGTCTGTTTCTTTTATACTATAAGCAATAAATCATCTATATTATTTGTATGGAATGATTGTGTTAAAGGTGTATATGTATTTCTGAATTGATTTATGCTTGGTGGTACATGGCCAGCACCTGCACCAGCATGTGAAGGTAAGAACTATTTATCACTCATCATCATTTGAAAGTAAGCAGTGATTACCAGTGTCCTGTTTTCCAGCACATGGGCAACAAACCCACCAGCATGTATAAAAGTAAGCACTGGTCAGTAGGTTTGGATATATTAGCAAGACTCAAATAAGATTTGTTTTGTGGTATAAAGAAAGCAAATCATTTGTGAAAATTGTCACTTTTCTATTATAAAAATCTTCAATATAAAAAGGCCATATGGAAATATGTTTACAATTCCTAGCATATGATCAAATAAATATAGAAATATTTTTTTAATTCTATGCACATTGATACCACTGCTCCTCAGGATGGTGATTTTACTGTTTTATTCACGTCTATTCCTCCCTCTCTTTGTCAATCACATGAAATTTCTATTGTGTTTTCCCTTAAAAACTATTTGATATATTTTCCCATTAGAAGCTCATCAACTTCCTGTTTAGGAAAAAATTCCTTAGTTTTTGTTGAGCTTGCGACTTCTGTCGCAGAAAGCTCGACATAGGGATAGTGATCTGGCAGCAGCGGCAGTGGTGACAAACTTCTTAGAAGCTTAATATTTCAGTAGGTAGAAGACCTTGATGCTTCATACTTTGTATATACATGTAGATGCCTTATGATATGAAGTTTCTGTTTGTCATATGTCCATTGTCCTTGACCTCATTTTCATGGTTCAGTGACTACTTGAAAAAAAAGTTAAGATTTTTTGTAATGTCAATTTCTCTGTTATAAAGAGCTATAGGATAACATCATTTGGTATGTGCATACCTCGCAAGGTTCTCATGTCTGTCAGACAGTTTTCACTTCACCTCGACCTCATTTCATGGATCATTGAAGAAGGTTAAGTTTTCGTGGTCAAGTGTATATATAAGATACTATAACCAATAGGTTTACTATATTTGGTTTAAGAAATGATTGTAAGGTGTACATGTCCAACTTGCAGGTGTCATCTGACCTTGACCTTATTTTCATGGTTCAGTGGTCAAAGTTAAATTTTTGTGTTTTGGTCTGTTTTTCTAATACTGTCTGCACTAGGTGAACTTTATTTGGTGTATGGAAATATTTTACGATGCACATGTCAGTCCGGCAAGTTTATTTGACCTTGACTTTATTTTTAAGGTTCATTGCTCAATGTTAAGTTTTTTGTGCTATAGTCTGTTTTTCTAATACTGAATGCAATAGGTCAACTATATTTGGTGTATGGAAATATTTTACGATGTACATGTCAGTCTGGCAAGTTTTATTTGACCATGACCTCATTTTCATGGTTCATTGCTCAATGTTAAGTTTTTGTGTTTTGGTCTGTTTTCATTTAACTTTAAGCAATAGGTCAACTATATTTGGTGTATGGAATGATTTTATGGTGTATATGTCTGTCTGGCAGGTATCATCTGATCTTCACCTCATTTTTATTGTTCATTGGTCAATGTTTAGTTTTCCTGGTTGTCTTTGTTTCTTAGATACTATCAGAAAGAAAGTCAACTATATTTATACCCCACGCAAGGAGTTGCGGAGGGTATAATGTTTTTGACCCGTCCGTCCGTCTGTCCGTCTGTCCGTCTGTCAGTCCGTCAGTCCTGTTTCTTGTCATCGCAACTCCTCTCAAACCACACAACAGAATTTCACGAAACCTTTTTAGATAATAAGGACATACTATGTAGATGTGCATATCGACAGGAAATTATGGTTCAATTTTTTTTCTAGGAGTTACGCCCCTTTGAACTTATTTGCTTCAATGTACTACTGCAACAGTTTGTCATCGCAACTCCTCTGATACCACACAACAGAATTTCATGAAACCTTTTTAGATAATAAGGACATACTATGTAGATGTGCATATCGACAGGAAATTACGGTTCAATTTTTTTTCTAGGAGTTACGCCCCTTTGAACTTATTTGCTTCAATGTACTACTGCAACAGTTTGTCATCGCAACTCCTCTGATACCACACAACAGAATTTCAGGAAACCTTTTTAGATAATAAGGACATACTATGTAGATGTGCATATCGACAGGAAATTACGGTTCAATTTTTTTTCTAGGAGTTACGTCCCTTTGAACTTATTTGCTTCAATGTACTACTGCAACGGTTTGTCATCGCAACTCCTCTGATACCACACAACAGAATTTCATGAAACCTTTTTAGATAATAAGGACATACTATGTAGATGTGCATATCGACAGGAAATTACGGTTCAATTTTTTTTCTAGGAGTTACGCCCCTTTGAACTTATTGCTTCAATGTACTACTGCAACAGTTTGTCATCGCAACTCCTCTGAAACCACACAACAGAATTTCATGAAACTTTGTAGATGATAAGGACATACTATGTAGATGTGCATATCGACAGGAAATTATGATTCAATTTTTTTTCTAGGAGTTACGCCCCTTTGAACTTATTTGGTTCAATGTACTTCTACAACAGTTTGGCATAGCAACTCCTCTGAAACCACACAACATTATTTCATGAAACTTTGTAGATAATAAGGACATACTATGTAGATGTGCATATTGACAGGAAATTATGATTCAATTTTTTTTTCTCATACAATTTTTTTTTCTTACACTTATTTTATTTCTCCAATGACAATGTGGGGACGTGGGGTATGTGAGCGCGCTCACTAAGGTTCTTTAATTGATGCATGGAATGATTTTAAGGTGTACATGTATGTCTGGCAGGGTTCATCTGACCTTGACCTTCATTTTCATGGTTCATTGGTCAATATAGAATTTCCATGGTTTGGTCTGTTTCTTTTATACTATAAGCAATAAATCATCTATATTATTTGTATGGAATGATTGTGTTAAAGGTGTATATGTATTTCTGAATTGATTTATGTGACCTCATTTCTTGGTTCAAAAATTTTAATGTGATACTTGAGTTAAAACTTTATACTTAGGACTATCAATATAAAATCAATGGTCAGTATAGTATGCTACATTGTAGCGTGTGCGCTCCTGTCTAACAACACATAATATAGATACTGTAAATTCAGATATTATTGCGAGGTTTTTATTTTTGCGAAAAATGCGACAGAGTTGCAAACGCAATAATTTAAACTCGCATTTTGAAATATTTTACATGAATAAAACAGGATTTTTCTCAAAATCGTAAAAATTAAAATCGCATTTAAGTCTAAAATGACAAAATCGCAATAATAAATGCACGCAATAATTTCTGAATTTACAGTATAAGAAGATGTGGTATGTGTGCCAATGAGACAACTCTCCATCCAAGTCACAATTTGTAAAAGTAAACCATTATAGGTCAAAGTAAGGCCTTCAAAACGGAGCATTGGCTCACACCAAACAGCAAGCTATAAAGGGCCCCAAAAATGACTAGTGTAAAACCATTCAAACAGGAAAACCAACAGTCTAATCTATATAAAAAACGAGAAACACTTATGAACCACATCAACAAACGACAACTACTGTACATCATAATGCCCATATATGAAATGTTTGCCATATTTTTCTGAAAAACAACATATCAGAAAACAATAAAGATTGGAATAAACATTGATGTAAGCAAGCTATACCATGATGTACCTTTTTAAAATCATTTGCCCACCAAATTCCCGTTTATTGAGTACTATTGTAGATGAAATCATAATTGAACAGTGGCTGACAGTTAACAATTCAAGTGTTTTTGTCTTTAAGGTGTGTGACAGACTCTAAATGAATCATACAAAGTTGATAGAATGATATATATCTAAATAGTAACAAAGTGCATTGATTTCTTCTTTTTTTTTTAGTTATAAAATGTACAGCCCATGGATTAAACGAATATACAATTACATCAACTAATACTGATGTTGTGCCAAGTACAGAAGTGACATACACATGTAAATTTGGTTACCAGTTACCAGCTGGAGATTTGGGAACTAGAATATGTCAGCTTGGTGGTACATGGCCAGCACCACCAGCATGTGAAGGTAAGAACTGTTTACCCCACATCGTTTGAAGGTAGGCAGTGGTTACCAGTGTTCTGTGTTCTAGCACCTGGTAAACAAAACCCACCAGCATGTAAAAATATGCCCTACTCAGCCGTGTTTAATGCACAAGCAAATCTTAAAACAGATTTGTTTTGTGGTATATTGGAGGATAATCTATCTGGACAATTGTCAGTTTACTGTTCAAATATCTGAAAACAGAATTGTTAAGTGATTGATTGATTTAAGTTTAATGCCACTTTCAGCACTATTTTGTGGCATTCAGTTTTTATTGATGGAGGTAGCTGGAATGCCTGGAGAGAACCATTGACCTTTGATAGGAAAACTGACAATCCTGGTCAGTTTAGATTGGAATCAAGCGCACTTGCCATGTGCGAGATTGGAACTCATAACCTCAGTGTTAACAGTCATGTGATACAGTAGTTTGAATTCTAAGACCACTGGGCCACTTATGCCCCTATATTGTTGAGTAAAAATTCCTAACATATTATCCAAAAAGTATATAAATATAAATTAAATGCAGTGCATTTGAAATCCTTCTCATATAGGAAGCAAGTTTAACTGATTAATTGTAGGGATATAGTAAGTTAGTAGTGGCTCATGGTTTACAGTTTATTATTTTTTTTGCCTTAAAAAGGAGTGGCAAATGTAAAATACATCTTTTAATATCTACATAATACAAATGTTGCATGATCTCTTTATCTTTTAGTCACAAAGTGTACAGCTCCTGGATTAAACGAATTTACAATTACATCAACTAATACTGATGTTGTGCCAAGTACAGAAGTGACATACACATGTGAATTCGGTTACCAGTTACCAGCTGGAGATGTGGGAACGAGAATATGTCAGCTTGGTGGTACATGGCCAGCACCTGCACCAGCATGTGAAGGTAAGATCTATTAACCACTCATCATCATTTGATGGTTCACTGATAATAGATTAGCACTGGTCAGCAGTGTTGGGTTTAGAAAAAGGCCTCAAATATTTTTTGTTTGGTGGTATATTGCAAGAAATGACGTGGGATAATTTTCCAAATTTTGTGAACAGCAAACAAAATTGTTAGGTGTGAAAAAGGCCAAAAACAATTTAATTGCTTGCATCAAGTTAAATATGTATAAAATATGAATTAAATGCAATAAATTGTGTTGTCCTTGTTCTAAGGAGAGTGGTTTTGCTGGTTTGCTCTTGTCTGTCCTTTCCTTAGATGGTACAAAAAACTTTCTATTTTTCTTAAGAACTACACATCAGAGTTTTCTGAAATTTGTTACTAAGCTTTACTAAAGCCTGCTACCCTGTAGATGCCAACCATATTTTCTTAATTGTTACCAGCTTTTGACAAAATTTTAGGGTTTTACGATTAACAGTCTACTTGTTACAGATGTACATTCATTACTAAACTAGAACAGTGCCCTGTTTAGTTATAGCTTCAATCATTGTAGAGCTTTATGTTTAGTTATAAATGTGCTATGATAAGTCCTTTAGAGATAAGGATTTGTAAATTCTTTTTGGTTTCTACAATGTATGGTAAAAAGCAATCCTTTCATTTGCTTATCGATATTGAATAAATTAATGAATGTAGCTTTGCATTTGTGCCCAATACCGTCTTCGTGTCAAGCATTGTGCTAGGATCCGAGGCTTTTATGAATGCAGCGAGTGTTTGTTTTCCATTTTTTGATGTTTGATGGAACTATCAAATTTCTGCAGCAAGGAAAGAAAACCTGAACATGATGCCTTTTGCAAATATTGTGAACAAGACTTCCATTCCATGTAGATGGTTGGTGTTTCTCACTTGCTAATTAGCGGAGAATTGTAGTTGTCATGCATAAAGGAAGTCATTTATTTGTCACTTTGTGCCGAGTTGTAAGTATGATTATAATAAGTTTTTATGAAGAAAAAAAATCACAAATTACAGAAATGTTACCACTTTATTACTGATAACAAATAGGGGTTGGCATCTATGCTAAACCATATGAAGTGTTTTCATAGTCTTAGCTCATCAACTTTTAGTTTTCCAAAATAAAATATCATTTTAACTCAAAATGCCCATGTCAGTCATTATATTTTTCCCAGAACCCCCAAATCAGAGTAATCTAAAATTTGGTATAAACATTTATGTTATTATGCTATACTGTGATGCATTGCTACATTCATTGCTCTTCCACCTCCTTTGAGCAAATACTTATTGTTTGGGTATCATTAATGAGCAGTGGCTCACAGCTTGAAGTTTAACTTGTTTTCTATATCTTTAAGGAGTATGGCAGATGCAAAATGCATAATTTTATATTGGTTACAATGTTGATATAGCAGTTGATAAAATATGAGATATCTAAATTATACAAATATTGCATTTTCTTTCAGTTACAAAATGTACAGCTCCTGGATTAAACGAATATACAATTACATCCACTAATACTGATGTTGTGCCAAGTACAGAAGTGACATACACATGTGAATTTGGTTACCAGTTACCAGCTGGAGATTTGGGAACCAGAATATGTCAGCTTGGTGGTACATGGCCAGCACCTCCACCAGCATGTGAAGGTAAGAACTATTTACCACTCATCATCATTTGAAGGTTAGCAGTGGTTATGAGTGTTCTGTGTTCTAGCACCTGGTCAACAAAACCCACCAGCATGTAAAAATATGCCCTGGTCAGCAGTGTTCAATACATAAGCAAATCTCAAAACAAATTTGTTTTGTGGTATGAGAAGGAAATCAATTTGGAAAATTGTCAGTTTTACTGTTCAAATATCTGAAAACAGAATTGTTGAGTAATTGATTGATTGAAGTTTAATACCACTTCCAGCACTATTTTGTGGCATTCAGTTTTTATTGATGGAGGAAGCAGGAATGCCCGGAGAGAACCATTGACCTTCGGTAGGAAAACTAACAATTCTGGTCAGTTTAGATTGGAATTAAGCGCACTTGCCATGTGCGAGATTGGAACTCACAACCTCAGTGTTGACAGTCATGTGATACAGTAGTTTGACTTCTTAGACCGCTGGGCCACTTATGCCCCTATATTGCTGAGTAAAAATTCCTAAGGGATCATAGATTTATTCTTACGAGGAAGCTCCGAGCATGCTCGGAGGATGCTCGGAGCTTTTTAAGTAGGCTCTTCTCAGCAGTTTATGTGACAATAATTATCATGATCCATTAAGATGTCAATCAAATCTATAGCACTTTTATAATAAGGAAAGTAGAGCATTATAGAGGAAGCTCCATTAACACCTGTGTAAACATCTGGTCTATTCAAACAAATCTTGCATTAATTTTACAAAACTATAAAATAGGTGAGAAATTCTTCAATATTACTGTACAATGCTTGGTATCAAGTTTTCACAGAAAAAAAATATTTTAAAACATTTTCTTAATAATTATCATTCTTTATCAATACACATGATACAAAAAAACACTCAAATTTTATATTTAAAATATAAATATATTTTAAATTTATACTATATAAAATGAAATATAAAAGTCATCAAAGACACAAACTATGGTTATTGATTTATAACCATACTACCAAAACATAGTACATTCAGTTTCATGTGAAAAAGGGTTGATCTTTTTTTATATTCCATTTAATTTGACATTTGTTTGAAATTAACCCTCCATTTCATTGCAGAAAAGTTTTTTTGAGTCGTAAACATGTATCTTCGGTGTTTCAAAGCAATAAAAATATACTATATTCTACAGGGAAAAAAGGGGAGAGAATTTGATTGGTTAACTTCTGGTGATGTGTACTTTCTTATATGCATTAAAAAGTTATGCTATAATTTCACTGTAGTACAGGACAGGATAAAACTTTATTTATGTCAAGTATTTCTTTATTTAAAACATAGATAAATTCTGCACATTTTTTAAAAAATATAACAATAATGACAATTAAACAAAGACTTATAGGAGGGAAATAATTATACTCATGCCAAGAATTTCTTTATTTAAAACAAAGCTAAATCTACACAATTAAAAAAAATGCATAGTAAAGAGAGACGTACTAGAGGGAAAACAATGGTGGTATTACCCCCTCAAACCAGGCTTCCACTCATGAATTACAACTTTTCTTAAACATGTTAAAGTGGCCATTAAATTTTCTATAAAAGAACTTAGTTTGCTATTTAAAAAAAAAAAAACATATTACCATTGTTTAGTTAGGGGCTTTATTTAAACAAGTAATTTTCAAAATTACCTACAGAAGTTATGTTGAAAACGAGGCTGTTTCAAATATAACTTCTATATCATGAATAAGAAACTTCTGTTAATATTATTTTTATAGGTGTCCATTCATACAGGTTTTACTAGCTTTAACAAATTTTCACAGACATCTGGTTATTTTCCCCATGAAATATACTGGTAAAACTATTTAAATCCTCAAGAAGCACTAATTGCTTTTCTGAGGCCACACTTCTTGGTCATAGATTGGCCTCTTGGGGCTATTAAAATATCATTTCCCCTTAAAATCTTAGAGATAGACAGTTATAACTAGATATGGAACCTTTAATTAAGACTTGAAGATATTTATAATTTGAATCTTAATCAAAAGCAATTACATATATTCCTTAAATAATTGTAAGTACTAAGTTTTTTGAAGTTGTATAAAATAATTTATTAAAGTAATATTTTTGTCATTATTTTTTAAAGTAACCTCTCTATACTCATCTCAAATTGGATAAATACTTAATTTTATTTAATGAAATGATATAAAAATTCTTAAAAACTACATTTAGTCCATGCTTTATTTGACATTTAAAATAACTATTGAGTTATTAAATAATTTTTAAAAACAAAAAATACTTACATGACTTATAAAAGTGACTAAAAAAAAATACTTGTTTAGTATCACCACCTGACTGTTGTTTGTGTCTTGATAACTTTCATGTAGCATATTATATAATATAAACTATTTTTAAATCATATCATCTAATTATAAAATTTGAGAATTTTTTATTATAAAAAAAGAAATGATTATTAAATATAATAAGAAAATATTTAAATGACTTTTACTTTTTGTGGAGACTTGTGATTTCTTTCCAAGCATTACACAGCACTGTTGAAGAATTTCTAATCTATTTTATAGTTTTGTAAAATTTCATGCAAAATGTATTTGAATAGACCAGATGTTTACACAGGTGTTGATGGAGCTTCCTCTATAATGCTCTACTTTCCTTATCATGGAAGTGGTGTAGATTTGATTGACATCTTAATGGATCATGATAATTATTGTCACATTAACTGCTCAGAAGAGCCTAGTTAAAAAACTCCGAGCATCCTCCGAGCATGCTCAGAGCTTCCTCGTAAGAATAAATCTATGATCCCTAACACATTATCCAAAAAGTATGTAAATATTAAATTAAATGCAGTGCATTTAAATTCCTTCTCATATAGGAAGCCAGTTTAACTGATTTATTTTAGTTATATAGTAAGTTAGTAGTGGCTCATAGTTTACAGTTTATTATTATTTTTGCCTTAAAAAGGAGTGGCAAATGCAAAATACATCTTTTAATATCTACATAATACAAATGTTGCATGATCTCTTTTTCTTTTAGTTACAAAGTGTACAGCTCCTGGATTAAACGAATTTACAATTACATCAACTATTACTAATGTTGTGCCAAGTACAGAAGTGACATACACATGTGAATTTGGTTACCAGTTACCAGCTGGAGATTTGGGAACAAGAATATGTCAGCTTGGTGGTACATGGCCAGCACCTGCACCAGCATGTGAAGGTAAGATCTATTAACCACTCATCATCATTTGATGGTTCACTGATAATAGATTAGCACTGGTCAGCAGTGTTGGGTGTAGAAAAAGGCCTCCAATATTTTTAGTTTGATGGTATATTGCAAGAAATGACTTGGGAGAACTTTCCAAATTTTGTGAACAGCAAACAAAATTGTTAGGTGTGAAAAAGGCCAAAAACAATTTAATTGCTTGCATAAAGTTAAATATGTATAAAATATGAATTAAACACAATAAATTGTGTTGTCCTTGTTCTAACATTGTCTAAGGAGAGTGGTTTTGCTAGTTTGCTCTTGTCTGTCCTTTCCTTAGATGGTATAAAGAAATTTCTATTTTTCTTAAGAACTACACATCAGAGCTTTCTGAAATTTGTTACTAAGCTTTACTAAAGCCTGCTTCACCTGTAGATGCCAACCATATTTTCTTAATTGTTACCAGCTTTTGACCAAATTTTAGGGTTTTACGATTAACAGTCTACCTGTTACAGATGTACATTCATTACTAAACCAGAACAGTTCCCTGTTTAGTTATAGCTTCAATCATTGTAGAGCTTTATGTTTAGTTATAAATGTGCTATGATAAGTCCTTGAGTGATAAGGATTTGTAAATTCTTTCTGGTTTCTACAATGTATGGTAAAAAGCGATCCTTTCATTTGCTTATCGATATTGAATAAATTAATGAATGTAGCTTTGCATTTGTGCCCAATACCGTCTTCGTGTCAAGCATTGTGCTAGGATCCGAGGCTTTTATGAATGCAGCGAGTGTTTGTTTTCCATTTTTTGATGTTTGATGGAACTATCAAATTTCTGCAGCAAGGAAAGAAAACCTGAACATGATGCCTTTTGCAAATATTGTGAACAAGACTTCCATTCCATGTAGATGGTTGGTGTTTCTCACTTGCTAATTAACGTAGAATTGTAGTTGTCATGCATAAAGGAAGTCATTTATTTGTCACCTTATGCCGAGTTGTAAGTATGATTATGATAAGTTTTTTATGAAAAAAATAATCACAAATTACAGAAATGTTACCACTTTTTTACTGATAACAAATAGGGGTTGGCATCTATGCTAAACCATATGAAGTGTTTTCACAGTCTTAGCTCATCAACTTTTAGTTTTCCAAAATAAAATATCATTTTAACTCAAAATGCCCATGTCAGTCATTATATTTTTCCCAGAACCCCCAAATCAGAGCAATCTAAAATTTGGTATAAACATTTATGGTATTATGCTATACTGTGATGCATTGCTACATTCATTGCTCTTCCACCTCCTTTGAGCAAATACTTATTGTTTGGGTATCATTAATGAGCAGTGGCTCACAGCTTGAAGTTTAACTTGTTTTCTATATCTTTAAGGAGTATGGCAGATGTAAAATGCATAATTTTATATTAGTTACAATGTTGATATAGCAGTTGATAAAATATGAGATATCTAAATTATACAAATATTGCTTTTCTTTCAGTTACAAAATGTACAGCTCCTGGATTAAACGAATATACAATTACATCTACTAATACTGATGTTGTGCCAAGTACAGAAGTGACATACACATGTGAATTTGGTTACCAGTTACCAGCTGGAGATTTGGGAACCAGAAAATGTCAGCTTGGTGGTACATGGCCAGCACCTCCACCAGCATGTGAAGGTAAGAACTATTTACCACTCATCATCATTTGAAGGTTAGCAGTGGTTACCAGTGTTCTGTGTTCTAGCACCTGGTCAACAAGACCCACCAGCATGTAAAAATATGCCCTGGTCAGCAGTGTTTAATGCATAAGCAAATCTCAAAACAGATTTGTTTTGTGGTATATGAGAAGGAAACCAATTTGGAAAATCGTCAGTTTTACTGTTTAAATATCTGAAAACAGAATTGTTGAGTGATTGATTGATTGAAGTTTAACGCCATTTTCAGCACTATTTTGTGGCATTCAGTTTTTTTTTATGGGGGAAGCGGGAATGCCTGGAGAGAACCATTGACCTTCGGTAGGAAAACTGACAATTCTGGTCAGTTTAGATTGGAATCAAGCACACTTGCCATGTGCGAGATTGGAACTCACAACCTCAGTGTTGACAGTCATGTGATACAGTAGTTTGACTTCTTAGACCACTGGGCCACTTATGCCCCTATATTGTTGAGTAAACATTCCTACCATATTATCCAAAAAGTATGTAAATATAAAATTAAATGCAGTCCATTTGAACTCCTTTTAATATAGGAAGCCAGTTTAACTGATTTATTGTAGGGATATAGTAAGTTAGTATTGGCTCATAGTTAACAGTTTTAATTTTTTGCCTTAAAAAGAAGTGTGGCAAATGCAAAGTACATCTTTTGATATCTACATAATACAAATGTTGCATGATCTCCTTTTCTTTTAGTCACAAAGTGTACAGCTCCAGGATTAAACGAATTTGCAATTACATCAGCTAATACTGATGTTGTGCCAAGTACAGAAGTGACATACACATGTGAATTTGGTTACCAGTTACCAGCTGGAGATTTGGGAACCAGAATATGTCAGCTGGGTGGTACATGGCCAGCACCTCCACCAGCATGTGAAGGTAAGAACTGTTTACCCCACATCATCGTTTGAAGGTAAACAGTGGTTACCAGTTTTCTGTGTTCTAGCACCTGGTCTACAAAACCCACCAGCATTTAAGAATAAGCCTTGGTCAGCAGTGTTTAATGCATAAGCAAATCTCAAAACAGATTTGTTTTGTGGTATATGGGAATGAAATCCATTTGGAAAATTGTCAGTTTTACAGTTCAAATATCTGAAAACAGAATTGTTGAGTGATTGATTGATTGAAGTTTAATGCCACTTTCAGCGCTATTTTGTGGCATTCAGTTTTTATTGTTGGAGGAAGCAGGAATGCTTGGGAAGAACCATTGATCTTTGGTAGGAAAACTGACAATCATGGTCAGTTTAGATTGGAATCAAGCACACCTGCAATGTGCCAGATTGGCACTCACACCCTCAGTGTTGACAGTCATGTGATACAGTAGCTTGACTACAAAGACCACTGGGCCTCTTAGGACCCTAAATTGTTGAATATAAAAATTCTTAGCATATGATCCAAAAAGTATTGAAATATTAATTAAATGCAGTGCATTTAAAATCCTTCTAACATAGGACGCCATGTTAACTGATTTCTTGTAGTTATATAGTAAGTTAGTATTGGCTCATAGTTAACAGTTTTAATTGTTTGCCTTAAAAAGGAGTGTGGCAAATGCAAAATACATCTTTTAATATCTACATAATACAAATATTGCATGATCTCCTTTTCTTTTAGTCACAAAGTGTACAGCTCCTGGATTAAACGAATTTACAATTACATCCACTAATACTGATGTTGTGCCAAGTACAGAAGTGACATACACATGTGAATTCGGTTACCAGTTACCAGCTGGAGATTTGGGAACCAGAATATGTCAGCTTGGTGGTACATGGCCAGCACCTCCACCAGCATGTGAAGGTAAGAACTGTTTACCCCACATCATCATTTGAAGGTAAACAGTGGTTACCAGTTTCTGTGTTCTAGCACGTGGTCAACAAAACTCACCAGCATTTAGGAATAAGCCTTGGTCAGCAGTGTTTAATGCATAAGCAAATCTCAAAACAGATTTGTTTTGTGGTATATGGGAAGGAAATCCATTTGGAAAATTGTCAGTTTTACAGTTCAAATATCTGAAAACAGAATTGTTGAGTGATTGATTGAAGTTTAATGCCACTTTCAGCACTATTTTGTGGCATTCAGTTTTTATTGTTGGAGGAAGCGGGAATGCTTGGGGAGAACCATTGATCTTTGGTAGGAAAACTGACAATCCTGGTTAGTTTAGATTGGAATCAAGCACACCTGCAATGTGTGAGATTGGCACTCACACCCTCATTGTTGACAGTGATGTGATACAGTAGCTTGACTACAAAGACCCCGGGGCCTCTTCGGACCCTTAATTGTTGAATTTAAAAATTTGTAGCTTATGATCCTAAAAGTATGTAAATATTAATTAAATGCAGTGCATTTAAAATCCTTCTAACAGAGGACGCAATGTTAACTGATTTATTGTAGTTATAAAGTAAGTTAGTATTGGCTCATAGTTAACAGTTTTAATTTTTTTCCTTAAAAAGAAGTGTGACAAATGCAAAATACATCTTTTAATATCTACATAATACAAATGTTGCATGATCTCCTTTTCTTTTAGTCACAAAGTGTAAAGCTCCTGGATTAAACGAATTTACAATTACATCCACTAATACTGATGTTGTGCCAAGTACAGAAGTGACATACACATGTGAATTTGGTTACCAGTTACCAGCTGGAGATTTGGGAACGAGAATATGTCAGCTTGGTGGTACATGGCCAGCACCTGCACCAGCATGTGAAGGTAAGATCTATTTACCACTCATCATCGTTTGAAGGTTAACAGTGGTTACCAGTGTTCTGTGTTCTAGCACCTGGTCAACAAAACCCACCAGCATTTAAGAATAAGCCTTCGTCAGCAGTGTTTAATTCATAAGCAAATCTCAAAACAGATTTGTTTTGTGGTATATGGGAAGGAAATCCATTTGGAAAATTGTCAAGTTTTAAAGTCCAAATATCTGAAAACAGAATTGTTGAGTGATTGATTGATTGAAGTTTTATGCCACTTTCAGCGCTATTTTGTGGCTTTCAGTTTTTATTGTTGGAGGAAGCATGAATGCTTGGGGAGAACCATTGATCTTCGGTAGGAAAACTGACAATCCTGGTCAGTTTAGATTGGAATCAAGCACACCTGCCATGTGCGAGATTGGCACTCACACCCTCAGTGTTGACAGTCATGTGATACATTAGCTTGACTACAAAGACCACTGGGCCTCTTAGGACCCTAAATTGTTGAATTTAAAAATTCTTAGCATATGATCCAAAAATATTCAAATATTAATTAAATGCAGTGCATTTAAAATCCTTCTAACAAAGGATGCCTTGTTAACTGATTTATTGTATTATGTAGTAAGTTAGTATTGGCTCATAGTTAACAGTTTTAATTTTTTGCCTTAAAAAGGAGTGTGGCAAATGCAAAATACATCTTTTAATATCTACATAATACAAATGTTGCATGATCTGTTTTTCTTTTAGTCACAAAGTGTACAGCTCCAGGATTAAACGAATATACAATTACATCCACTAATACTGATGTTGTGCCAAGTACAGAAGTGACATACACATGTGAATTTGGTTACCAGTTACCAGCTGGAGATTTGGGAACCAGAATATGTCAGCTTGGTGGTACATGGCCAGCACCTCCACCAGCATGTGAAGGTAAGAACTGTTTACCCCACATCATCGTTTGAAGGTAAACAGTGGTTACCAGTGTTCTGTGTTCTAGCACCTGGTCAACAAAATCCACCAGCATTTAAGAATGAGCCTTGGTCAGCAGTGTTTAATGCAAATGCAAATCTCAAAACAGATTTGTTTTGTGGTATATGGGAAGGAAATCCATTTGGAAAATTGTCAGTTTTACAGTTCAAATATCTGAAAACAGAATTGTTGAGTGATTGATTGATTGAAGTTTAATGCCACTTTCAGCGCTATTTTGTGGCATTCAGTTTTTATTGTTGGAGGAAGCAGGAATGCTTGGGAAGAACCATTGATCTTTGGTAGGAAAACTGACAATCATGGTCAGTTTAGATTGGAATCAAGCACACCTGCAATGTGCCAGATTGGCACTCACACCCTCAGTGTTGACAGTCATGTGATACAGTAGCTTGACTACAAAGACCACTGGGCCTCTTAGGACCCTAAATTGTTGAATATAAAAATTCTTAGCATATGATCCAAAAAGTATTGAAATATTAATTAAATGCAGTGCATTTAAAATCCTTCTAACATAGGACGCCATGTTAACTGATTTCTTGTAGTTATATAGTAAGTTAGTATTGGCTCATAGTTAACAGTTTTAATTGTTTGCCTTAAAAAGGAGTGTGGCAAATGCAAAATACATCTTTTAATATCTACATAATACAAATGTTGCATGATCTCCTTTTCTTTTAGTCACAAAGTGTACAGCTCCTGGATTAAACGAATTTACAATTACATCCACTAATACTGATGTTGTGCCAAGTACAGAAGTGACATACACATGTGAATTCGGTTACCAGTTACCAGCTGGAGATTTGGGAACCAGAATATGTCAGCTTGGTGGTACATGGCCAGCACCTCCACCAGCATGTGAAGGTAAGAACTGTTTACCCCACATCATCATTTGAAGGTAAGCAGTGGTTACCAGTGTTCTGTGTTCTAGCACCTGGTCAACAAAATCCACCAGCATTTAAGAATGAGCCTTGGTCAGCTGTGTTTAATGCAAATGCAAATCTCAAAACAGATTTGTTTTGTGGTATAAGGGAAGGAAATCCATTTGGAAAATTGTCAGTTTTACAGTTCAAATATCTGAAAACAGAACTGTTGAGTGATTGATTGATTGAAGTTTAATGCCACTTTCAGCGCTATTTTGTGGTATTCAGTTTTTATTGTTGGAGGGAGCAGGAATGCTTGGGAAGAACCATTGATCTTTGGTAGGAAAACTGACAATCCTGGTCAGTTTAGATTGGAATCAAGCACACCTGCAATGTGCCAGATTAGCACTCACACCCTCAGTGTTGACAGTCATGTGATACAGTAGCTTGACTACAAAGACCACTGGGCCTCTTAGGACCCTAAATTGTTGAATTTAAAAATTCTTAGCATATGATCCAAAAAGTATTGAAATATTAATTAAATGCAGTGCATTTAAAATCCTTCTAACATAGGACGCCATGTTAACTGATTTCTTGTAGTTATATAGTAAGTTAGTATTGGCTCATAGTTAACAGTTTTAATTGTTTGCCTTAAAAAGGAGTGTGGCAAAAGCAAAATACATCTTTTAATATCTACATAATACAAATGTTGCATGATCTCCTTTTTTTTTTAGTCACAAAGTGTAAAGCTCCTGGATTAAACGAATTTACAATTACATCCACTAATACTGATGTTGTGCCAAGTACAGAAGTGACATACACATGTGAATTCGGTTACCAGTTACCAGCTGGAGATTTGGGAACCAGAATATGTCAGCTTGGTGGTACATGGCCAGCACCTCCACCAGCATGTGAAGGTAAGAACTGTTTACCCCACATCATCGTTTGAAGGTAAGCAGTGGTTACCAATGTTCTGTGTTCTAGCACCTGGTCAACAAAACTCACCAGCATTTAGGAATAAGCCTTGGTCAGCAGTGTTTAATGCATAAGCAAATCTCAAAACAGATTTGTTTTGTGGTATATGGGAAGGAAATCCATTTGGAAAATTGTCAGTTTTACAGTTCAAATATCTGAAAACAGAATTGTTGAGTGATTGATTGAAGTTTAATGCCACTTTCAGCACTATTTTGTGGCATTCAGTTTTTATTGTTGGAGGAAGCGGGAATGCTTGGGGAGAACCATTGATCTTCGGTAGGAAAACTGACAATCCTGGTCAGTTTAGATTGGAATCAAGCACACCTGCAATGTGTGAGATTGGCACTCACACCCTCATTGTTGACAGTGATGTGATACAGTAGCTTGACTACAAAGACCCCGGGGCCTCTTCGGACCCTTAATTGTTGAATTTAAAAATTTGTAGCTTATGATCCAAAAAGTATGTAAATATAAAATTAAATGCAGTGCATTTAAAATCCTTCTAACAGAGGACGCAATGTTAACTGATTTATTGTAGTTATAAAGTAAGGTAGTATTGGCTCATAGTTAACAGTTTTAATTTTTTGCCTTAAAAAGAAGTGTGACAAATGCAAAATACATCTTTTAATATCTACATAATACAAATGTTGCATGATCTCCTTTTCTTTTAGTCACAAAGTGTACAGCTCCTGGATTAAACGAATTTACAATTACATCCACTAATACTGATGTTGCGCCAAGTACAGAAGTGACATACACATGTGAATTTGGTTACCAGTTACCAGCTGGAGATTTGGGAACCAGAATATGTCAGCTTGGTGGTACATGGCCAGCACCTCCACCAGCATGTGAAGGTAAGAACTGTTTACCCCACATCATCATTTGAAGGTAAACAGTGGTTACCAGTGTTCTGTGTTCTAGCACCTGGTCAACAAAACTCACCAGCATTTAAGAATAAGCCTTGGTCAGCAGTGTTTAATGCATGAGCAAGTCTCAAAACAGATTTGTTTTGTGGTATATGGGAAGGAAATCAATTTGGAAAATTGTCAAGTTTTAAAGTCCAAATATCTGAAAACAGAATTGTTGAGTGATTGATAGATTGAAGTTTAATGCCACTTTCAGCGCTATTTTGTGGCATTCAGTTTTTATTGTTGGAGGAAGCATGAATGCTTGGGGAGAACCATTGATCTTTGGTAGGAAAACTGACAATCCTGGTCAGTTAAGATTGGAATCAAGCACACCTGCCATGTGCGAGATTGGCACTCACACCGTCAGTGTTGACAGTCATGTGATACATTAGCTTGACTACAAAGACCACTGGGCCTCTTAGAACCCTAAATTGTTGAATTTAAAAACTCATAGCATATGATCCAAAAAGTATTTGAATATTATTAAATGCAGTGCATTTAAAATCCTTCTAACATAGGACGCCATGTTAACTGATATCTTGTAGTTATAAAGTAAGTTAGTATTGGCTCATAGTTTACAGTTTTAATTGTTTGCCTTAAAAAGGAGTGTGGCAAATGCAAAATACATCTTTTAATATCTGCATAATACAAATGTTGCATGATCTCCTTTTCTTTTAGTCACAAAGTGTACAGCTCCTAGATTAAACGAATTTACAATTACATCCACTAATACTGATGTTGTGCCAAGTACAGAAGTGACATACACATGTGAATTTGGTTACCAGTTACCAGCTGGAGATTTGGGAACCAGAATATGTCAGCTTGGTGGTACATGGCCAGCACCACCAGCATGTGAAGGTAAGAACTGTTTACCCCACATAATCGCTTGAAGGTAAGCAGTGGTTACCAGTGTTCTGTCTTCTAGCACCTGGTCAACAAAACCCACCAGCATGTAAAAATATGCCCTGGTCAGCAGTGTTTAATGCATAAGCAAATCTCAAAACAGATTTGTTTTGTGGAATATGGGAAGGAAATCAATTTGGACAATTGTCAGTTTACTGTTCAAATATCTGAAAACAGAATTGTTGAGTGATTAATTGATTGAAGTTTAATGCCACTTTGAGCACTATTTTGTGGCATTCAGTTTTTATTGATGGAGGGAGCGGGAATGCCTTGAGAGAACCATTGACCTTTGGTACGAAAACTGACAATTCTGGTCAGTTTAGATTGAAATCAAGCGCACTTGACATATGTGAGATTGGAACTCACAACCTCAGTCTTGACAGTCATGTGATACAGTAGTTTGACTTCTAAGACCACTGGGCCACTTATGCCCTTATATCGTGGAGTAAAAATTCCTAACATATCCAAAAAGTATGTAAATATAAAATTGAATGCAGTGCATTTGAAATCCTTCTAATATAAAAAGCCAGTTTAACTGATTTATTGTATGAATATAGTAAGTTAGTAGTGGCTCATAGTTTACAGTTTATTATTATTTTTGCCTTAAAAAGGAGTGTGGCAAATGCAAAATACATCTTTTAATATCTACATATTACAAAAGTTGCATGATCTCCTTTTCTTTTAGTCACAAAGTGTTCAGCTCCTGGATTAAACGAATTTACAATTACATCCACTAATACTGATGTTGTGCCAAGTACAGAAGTGACATACACATGTGAATTCGGTTACCAGTTACCAGCTGGAGATTTGGGAACCAGAATATGTCAGCTTGGTGGTACATGGCCAGCACCTCCACCAGCATGTGAAGGTAAGAACTATTTACCCCACATAATCGATTGAAGGTAAGCAGTGGTTACCAGTGTTCTGTGTTCTAGCACCTGGTCAACAAAACCCACCAGCATGTAAAAATATGCCCTGGTCAGCAGTGTTTAATGCATAAGCAAATCTCAAAACAGATTTGTTTTGTGGAATATGGGAAGGAAATCAATTTGGACAATTGTCAGTTTACTGTTCAAATATCTGAAAACAGAATTGTTGAGTGATTAATTGATTGAAATTTAATGCCACTTTCAGCACTATTTTGTGGCATTCAGTTTTTATTGATGCAGGAAGCGGGAATGCCTTGAGAGAACCATTGACCTTTGGTAGGAAAACTGACAATTCTGGTCAGTTTAGATTGAAATCAAGCGCATTTGACATATGCGAGATTGGAACTCACAACCTCAGTCTTGACAGTCATGTGATACAGTAGTTTGACTTCGAAGACCACTGGGCCACTTATGCCCCTATATTGTTGAGTAAAAATTCCTAACATATTATCCAAAAAGTATGTAAATATAAAATTGAATGCAGTGCATTTGAAATCCTTCTAATATAAAAAGCCAGTTTAACTGATTTATTGTATGGATATAGTAAGTTAGTAGTGGCTCATAGTTTACAGTTTATTATTATTTTTGCCTTAAAAAGGAGTGTGGCAAATTCAAAATACATCTTTTAATATCTACATATTACAAATGTTGCATGATCTCCTTTTCTTTTAGTCACAAAGTGTTCAGCTCCTGGATTAAACGAATTTACAATTACATCCACTAATACTGATGTTGTGCCAAGTACAGAAGTGACATACACATGTGAATTTGGTTACCAGTTACCAGCTGGAGATTTGGGAACCAGAATATGTCAGCTTGGTGGTACATGGCCAGCACCACCAGCATGTGAAGGTAAGAACTGTTTACCCCACATAATCGCTTGAAGGTAAGCAGTGGTTACCAGTGTTCTGTGTTCTAGCACCTGGTCAACAAAACCCACCAGCATGTAAAAATATGCCCTGGTCAGCAGTGTTTAATGCATAAGCAAATCTCAAAACAGATTTGTTTTGTGGAATATGGGAAGGAAATCAATTTGGACAATTGTCAGTTTACTGTTCAAATATCTGAAAACAGAATTGTTGAGTGATTCATTGATTGAAGTTTAATGCCACTTTGAGCACTATTTTGTGGCATTCAGTTTTTATTGATGGAGGGAGCGAGAATGCCTTGAGAGAACCATTGACCTTTGGTACGAAAACTGACAATTCTGGTCAGTTTAGATTGAAATCAAGCGCACTTGACATATGCGAGATTGGAACTCACAACCTCAGTCTTGACAGTCATGTGATACAGTAGTTTGACTTCTAAGACCACTGGGCCACTTATGCCCTTATATCGAGGAGTAAAAATTCCTAACATATCCAAAAAGTATGTAAATATAAAATTGAATGCAGTGCATTTGAAATCCTTCTAATATAAAAAGCCAGTTTAACTGATTTATTGTATGAATATAGTAAGTTAGTAGTGGCTCATAGTTTACAGTTTATTATTATTTTTGCCTTAAAAAGGAGTGTGGCAAATGCAAAATACATCTTTTAATATCTACATATTACAAATGTTGCATGATCTCCTTTTCTTTTAGTCACAAAGTGTTCAGCTCCTGGATTAAACGAATTTACAATTACATCCACTAATACTGATGTTGTGCCAAGTACAGAAGTGACATACACATGTGAATTTGGTTACCAGTTACCAGCTGGAGATTTGGGAACCAGAATATGTCAGCTTGGTGGTACATGGCCAGCACCTCCACCAGCATGTGAAGGTAAGAACTATTTACCCCACATAATCGATTGAAGGTAAGCAGTGGTTACCAGTGTTCTGTGTTCTAGCACCTGGTCAACAAAACCCACCAGCATGTAAAAATATGCCCTGGTCAGCAGTGTTTAATGCATAAGCAAATCTCAAAACAGATTTGTTTTGTGGAATATGGGAAGGAAATCAATTTGGACAATTGTCAGTTTACTGTTCAAATATCTGAAAACAGAATTGTTGAGTGATTAATTGATTGAAATTTAATGCCACTTTCAGCACTATTTTGTGGCATTCAGTTTTTATTGATGCAGGAAGCGGGAATGCCTTGAGAGAACCATTGACCTTTGGTAGGAAAACTGACAATTCTGGTCAGTTTAGATTGAAATCAAGCGCATTTGACATATGCGAGATTGGAACTCACAACCTCAGTCTTGACAGTCATGTGATACAGTAGTTTGACTTCAAAGACCACTGGGCCACTTATGCCCCTATATTGTTGAGTAAAAATTCCTAACATATTATCCAAAAAGTATGTAAATATAAAATTGAATGCAGTGCATTTGAAATCCTTCTAATATAAAAAGCCAGTTTAACTGATTTATTGTATGGATATAGTAAGTTAGTAGTGGCTCATAGTTTACAGTTTATTATTATTTTTGCCTTAAAAAGGAGTGTGGCAAATGCAAAATACATCTTTTAATATCTACATATTACAAATGTTGCATGATCTCCTTTTCTTTTAGTCACAAAGTGTTCAGCTCCTGGATTAAACGAATTTACAATTACATCCACTAATACTGATGTTGTGCCAAGTACAGAAGTGACATACACATGTGAATTCGGTTACCAGTTACCAGCTGGAGATTTGGGAACCAGAATATGTCAGCTTGGTGGTACATGGCCAGCACCTCCACCAGCATGTGAAGGTAAGAACTGTTTACCCCACATCATCATTTGAAGGTAAACAGTGGTTACCAGTGTTCTGTGTTCTAGCACCTGGTCAACAAAACTCACCAGCATTTAAGAATAAGCCTTGGTCAGCAGTGTTTAATGCATGAGCAAGTCTCAAAACAGATTTGTTTTGTGGTATATGGGAAGGAAATCAATTTGGAAAATTGTCAAGTTTTAAGGTCCAAATATCTGAAAACAGAATTGTTGAGTGATTGATAGATTGAAGTTTAATGCCACTTTCAGCGCTATTTTGTGGCATTCAGTTTTTATTGTTGGAGGAAGCATGAATGCTTGGGGAGAACCATTGATCTTTGGTAGGAAAACTGACAATCCTGGTCAGTTAAGATTGGAATCAAGCACACCTGCCATGTGCGAGATTGGCACTCACACTGTCAGTGTTGACAGTCATGTGATACATTAGCTTGACTACAAAGACCACTGGGCCTCTTAGAACCCTAAATTGTTGAATTTAAAAACTCATAGCATATGATCCAAAAAGTATTTGAATATTATTAAATGCAGTGCATTTAAAATCCTTCTAACATAGGACGCCATGTTAACTGATATCTTGTAGTTATAAAGTAAGTTAGTATTGGCTCATAGTTTACAGTTTTAATTGTTTGCCTTAAAAAGGAGTGTGGCAAATGCAAAATACATCTTTTAATATCTGCATAATACAAATGTTGCATGATCTCCTTTTCTTTTAGTCACAAAGTGTACAGCTCCTAGATTAAACGAATTTACAATTACATCCACTAATACTGATGTTGTGCCAAGTACAGAAGTGACATACACATGTGAATTTGGTTACCAGTTACCAGCTGGAGATTTGGGAACCAGAATATGTCAGCTTGGTGGTACATGGCCAGCACCACCAGCATGTGAAGGTAAGAACTGTTTACCCCACATAATCGCTTGAAGGTAAGCAGTGGTTACCAGTGTTCTGTCTTCTAGCACCTGGTCAACAAAACCCACCAGCATGTAAAAATATGCCCTGGTCAGCAGTGTTTAATGCATAAGCAAATCTCAAAACAGATTTGTTTTGTGGAATATGGGAAGGAAATCAATTTGGACAATTGTCAGTTTACTGTTCAAATATCTGAAAACAGAATTGTTGAGTGATTAATTGATTGAAGTTTAATGCCACTTTGAGCACTATTTTGTGGCATTCAGTTTTTATTGATGGAGGGAGCGGGAATGCCTTGAGAGAACCATTGACCTTTGGTACGAAAACTGACAATTCTGGTCAGTTTAGATTGAAATCAAGCGCACTTGACATATGTGAGATTGGAACTCACAACCTCAGTCTTGACAGTCATGTGATACAGTAGTTTGACTTCTAAGACCACTGGGCCACTTATGCCCTTATATCGTGGAGTAAAAATTCCTAACATATCCAAAAAGTATGTAAATATAAAATTGAATGCAGTGCATTTGAAATCCTTCTAATATAAAAAGCCAGTTTAACTGATTTATTGTATGAATATAGTAAGTTAGTAGTGGCTCATAGTTTACAGTTTATTATTATTTTTGCCTTAAAAAGGAGTGTGGCAAATGCAAAATACATCTTTTAATATCTACATATTACAAAAGTTGCATGATCTCCTTTTCTTTTAGTCACAAAGTGTTCAGCTCCTGGATTAAACGAATTTACAATTACATCCACTAATACTGATGTTGTGCCAAGTACAGAAGTGACATACACATGTGAATTTGGTTACCAGTTACCAGCTGGAGATTTGGGAACCAGAATATGTCAGCTTGGTGGTACATGGCCAGCACCTCCACCAGCATGTGAAGGTAAGAACTATTTACCCCACATAATCGATTGAAGGTAAGCAGTGGTTACCAGTGTTCTGTGTTCTAGCACCTGGTCAACAAAACCCACCAGCATGTAAAAATATGCCCTGGTCAGCAGTGTTTAATGCATAAGCAAATCTCAAAACAGATTTGTTTTGTGGAATATGGGAAGGAAATCAATTTGGACAATTGTCAGTTTACTGTTCAAATATCTGAAAACAGAATTGTTGAGTGATTAATTGATTGAAATTTAATGCCACTTTCAGCACTATTTTGTGGCATTCAGTTTTTATTGATGCAGGAAGCGGGAATGCCTTGAGAGAACCATTGACCTTTGGTAGGAAAACTGACAATTCTGGTCAGTTTAGATTGAAATCAAGCGCATTTGACATATGCGAGATTGGAACTCACAACCTCAGTCTTGACAGTCATGTGATACAGTAGTTTGACTTCGAAGACCACTGGGCCACTTATGCCCCTATATTGTTGAGTAAAAATTCCTAACATATTATCCAAAAAGTATGTAAATATAAAATTGAATGCAGTGCATTTGAAATCCTTCTAATATAAAAAGCCAGTTTAACTGATTTATTGTATGGATATAGTAAGTTAGTAGTGGCTCATAGTTTACAGTTTATTATTATTTTTGCCTTAAAAAGGAGTGTGGCAAATTCAAAATACATCTTTTAATATCTACATATTACAAATGTTGCATGATCTCCTTTTCTTTTAGTCACAAAGTGTTCAGCTCCTGGATTAAACGAATTTACAATTACATCCACTAATACTGATGTTGTGCCAAGTACAGAAGTGACATACACATGTGAATTTGGTTACCAGTTACCAGCTGGAGATTTGGGAACCAGAATATGTCAGCTTGGTGGTACATGGCCAGCACCACCAGCATGTGAAGGTAAGAACTGTTTACCCCACATAATCGCTTGAAGGTAAGCAGTGGTTACCAGTGTTCTGTGTTCTAGCACCTGGTCAACAAAACCCACCAGCATGTAAAAATATGCCCTGGTCAGCAGTGTTTAATGCATAAGCAAATCTCAAAACAGATTTGTTTTGTGGAATATGGGAAGGAAATCAATTTGGACAATTGTCAGTTTACTGTTCAAATATCTGAAAACAGAATTGTTGAGTGATTAATTGATTGAAGTTTAATGCCACTTTGAGCACTATTTTGTGGCATTCAGTTTTTATTGATGGAGGGAGCGAGAATGCCTTGAGAGAACCATTGACCTTTGGTACGAAAACTGACAATTCTGGTCAGTTTAGATTGAAATCAAGCGCACTTGACATATGCGAGATTGGAACTCACAACCTCAGTCTTGACAGTCATGTGATACAGTAGTTTGACTTCTAAGACCACTGGGCCACTTATGCCCTTATATCGAGGAGTAAAAATTCCTAACATATCCAAAAAGTATGTAAATATAAAATTGAATGCAGTGCATTTGAAATCCTTCTAATATAAAAAGCCAGTTTAACTGATTTATTGTATGAATATAGTAAGTTAGTAGTGGCTCATAGTTTACAGTTTATTATTATTTTTGCCTTAAAAAGGAGTGTGGCAAATGCAAAATACATCTTTTAATATCTACATATTACAAATGTTGCATGATCTCCTTTTCTTTTAGTCACAAAGTGTTCAGCTCCTGGATTAAACGAATTTACAATTACATCCACTAATACTGATGTTGTGCCAAGTACAGAAGTGACATACACATGTGAATTTGGTTACCAGTTACCAGCTGGAGATTTGGGAACCAGAATATGTCAGCTTGGTGGTACATGGCCAGCACCTCCACCAGCATGTGAAGGTAAGAACTATTTACCCCACATAATCGATTGAAGGTAAGCAGTGGTTACCAGTGTTCTGTGTTCTAGCACCTGGTCAACAAAACCCACCAGCATGTAAAAATATGCCCTGGTCAGCAGTGTTTAATGCATAAGCAAATCTCAAAACAGATTTGTTTTGTGGAATATGGGAAGGAAATCAATTTGGACAATTGTCAGTTTACTGTTCAAATATCTGAAAACAGAATTGTTGAGTGATTAATTGATTGAAATTTAATGCCACTTTCAGCACTATTTTGTGGCATTCAGTTTTTAAAGGCAGTGCTTTAATGCCTTTCTAGTTGCCGTGTTAATATTTCTTTCCGCGATATCCAACTTATCTACGTGGGGGGTCATTTAGCTCCAAGTAGATCCGGAAAATGTTGATTCTCTCCTCTTCTTATTGTGGTATAAAATGTTTTTTGTCTCATTTCATTTACATTGGGAAATAGAGAAACGATCATTGTGTTTTGTTAGTTTTAAAAACTTTTGATATATTTGTATTTTACATTATAAGCAGTCAACCGATTGACAAACTAGAATTATTTGAATTCCGTGTGGAAAGAGCTCGGGTTAATTTCGAGTGTTTTCTGCAATCTAGATGTTTATAAATCATTTCAGTCGTTGATATAATAATTAAAGGTCGACTGAACATGAATTATATTATACAATTTAAAGCGCATTTCTGTTTATGCACGCGAACCCGTCTAACGTTATTGTTATTTCGCAGTTATATAAAGTAGCAAATTATCGTTCCTGAATAGGTGGCGCCGTGGTAGCCGATCCTGTACTTCAACTTCCGGTTTCTGCACTGTGCAACTATTACAGTTGCATTTTTAATTAACGATGCCAAGTACTTGTTGTTGTGTACCTGGATGTCATTTAAGAGGAGGACATGCATTTCCAAATGACTTAAAAAGAAGAAAAAGTTGGATCAACGCCATGGCCCATACGCAGATTGGACGAGAACACGATGAAATCGTGGAGTCCATCTCAATCAGCTGTTGCTTGCAAGGCACATTTTACTGAAAAAGACTACGTGCAGGAAACTATTCATGGTAAAACTCTATTTTCTTTTTAAAATATATAGTTATATATGTAATCGCCATGCGAATAAACCAAAGTCAGTTTACAACCGCAATTATCGTTTTAGAATAAAAGGGGGTGGTTAATTCAAGACGTCATAATTTTTTGGATTACGATTCAATGTGATCTGTTTGAGATTTTTTGGTGCTTGCTACAATTATAATGATTTCTTACAAGAGGTATATCATACTGAGAATTATTTTAGCAGTAATTATGCTTATGTAGTAATGACAGGAATGCATAAGCTATGCCTCATAGACTTTCTTGAAAAATATCAATGACAATGTTAACAGGAACAAAACAATGACATGCTCTCATCTATATTATAGTTATTTAGGTACAAACAATGTATGTTTGTTGCATACGTCTCTCATTGTTTGTCCTTTGGATTTACATAACATACATTTTGATGTACATTGAATCAGGCTAACATAGTTTTATCCAGATTGTAATGAATAAATCTAGTTCATATTTTGCCAGGTTACGAGTACAAAGGAATTATAGTTATCTCGTACCATTGTAACTCGTACCAATGTCAACTCGTACCACTAAACAAAAACTCGTTCCAATGCAAACTCGTACCACTGCTAACTTGTACCACGGTAAATTCATACCATTGTAAACTCGTACCCACTTATTTAAATGCATTCAAATGGTGTTTAACTGAATATATACTTTAATTTCACTCAATACCTCTTAAGTCTGTAAAATGTATATAATTTGAAATTACAATAACCAATTTGTAGCTAATTTTCCTTGTCTAATTGGATAGAGAAAACCGTGGCAGATTGGCTTTGTTGTCTCCCTTGAATAGACTCTTTTTTAAACTTTTACTGGCCAAAGACCACAATTAATGATCCCGCTTTTCGTTGTCCACGAATATAGTTCCTTTTAATTAGAGTGTATTTTTTCTTAATTTTTTTTCTTTCCCTTCCTCACTCATTTCTTAGATTTTTTTGGATGGAAATGAAAGAAGAGAGGTGAAATAAACTTTTGGATGTTGTATTTTAACTGATTTTGATATGGAAAGAGTAATTAGGCCAGGTGCAAAAAGGTGATATTTACAGTTTTCGGAACATCTCTTGACTTGTCCATAGGGGTATGGATGTGTATTGGCTAAATTTGTAAGATGCTGGGGAGCGATATTTCTGAATGTTTGATATATGTTTGGACTAGTACTGTACTTTACACACACAAAATATTTGACAAAAAGAACCGGAGCATTTTTTTTAATGAAACAAAACGTTATAAAGAACTAATAGAGAATTTAATTGTGGTCTGTGGCCTAAGAGGTGAAATTCAGGAAATATTGAATTTGTACTTTGACAACTTCCCTGAATGATCTATTGGTATTAATTTGTCAAACTACATGAGAATAAATGATTTCCACTTTTATTTGATAGAAATTTTGTAAAAAAGTGACATTTCAGCCTACATGCCCAAAATTGAACTTTTTCAGTTGTTTCAATATTTTTACAAAAGTAGCATGCTTACTTTCTCTCTCACAGGTTTTTCTGATTTTCTACTTGTGTTTGTGGTACCTAATGTAGATGTTTAACTCATTTTTGAACACTAAACATACAAAAAAAGTAGATAAAATCAGAATAAGAGTGCAAAATGTGCTGCTTTAATGGTCCTAGTCTAACGCTCAGTATGAAGCAAGTGAAAAATGAGGTTCTATGCACATACAAGTTGAATTCCTTTTAGCAGATTTCACTGAAACTGTATCAAAAGCACTTATTACTGGTTGTTTGACCTTGTCTGTTTCACAGACTACCTTTATTTTCTTTTGTTTGATAGCTAGTGGTTAAAATATTGGCCTTTTGAGGCTGAAATTTCATGCCGGTTTTAAAAAGTAAAGTAAATAACTTTGCATTAGATCATACTGTCTACATATATAGTTGAAAGTGACAGTCTTGGTACATCCAGGCTCCATGTTTTATCATATCTGAGCAAAGATTTGAGCAAAAAGAAGCATATCTTCATCTCCCATATCATTTATATGCTTTTTAATATGCAAATGTGGGGAACGACCTAAATTGACAACCTGTTTTTTTAAGCTTGACATTGCTGAAGACCATTTTATTCACATGTGTTATGCTATTTGAAACTTATATTTCCATTAAAAGTACATTTATAACATGTAAAAGGTTTTTTTATAACTTAGCAACTTCAGAAAATTGTGGTAAGTGAAAAATATTACATTTCATATAAGGCCTCACTTCATTTGAAAACCTCTATTTTTTGGCACAGGCCCATATGAAATTTACTTCTGGCCATTTTTTATAAGTCTGAAACATGAAGTATGCTATCTGTTGCTTTTAATAGGTAATTACTTATACATAGAGACATTAAAAAGTGTAAGTTTTGGTATATTTTGGTTTTTAGAAGCCCAAATTTGATAGTTGAAATTATTCTAATTCAACGCCACAATTCAGCACCCAAAGTTCAGATATAAAAAATGCCACAATTTTTATAATTGGTATCATATGGCTTTGAAACTTTGTAAACTGTTTCATAATACACTAAGCTTAAATCATACCAAGTTTTATTAGAATTGGTCAAGGTTTAGACCCCTAATAGGCCAAAGACCACAATTAATGATCCCGCTTTTCGTTGTCCACGAATATAGTTCCTTTTAATTAGAGTGTATTTTTTCTTAATTTTTTTTCTTTCCCTTCCTCACTCATTTCTTAGATTTTTTTGGATGGAAATGAAAGAAGAGAGGTGAAATAAACTTTTGGATGTTGTATTTTAACTGATTTTGATATGGAAAGAGTAATTAGGCCAGGTGCAAAAAGGTGATATTTACAGTTTTCGGAACATCTCTTGACTTGTCCATAGGGGTATGGATGTGTATTGGCTAAATTTGTAAGATGCTGGGGAGCGATATTTCTGAATGTTTGATATATGTTTGGACTAGTACTGTACTTTACACACACAAAATATTTGACAAAAAGAACCGGAGCATTTTTTTTAATGAAACAAAACGTTATAAAGAACTAATAGAGAATTTAATTGTGGTCTGTGGCCTACTGACAACTATTTGATTTAATTTTTAATCATTCCAAATCAGTAACATTGAATAGATTTGGGTATTTTTCTATTGTTTCTAAAAGGAATTTTATTTAATGAAAGAATTTATTGATTGTGTTTTAAAGGTTTAAAATTGTTTATGACCAACAGTTAGAAAGTATGAAATTTATTTTTATACAATATTCAGCACATTTCAGCAGAATATGACCATGCTTATATGATTATACAAGTTGATTAGTTAAAGATAAAAAAAACCAAGTTGATTAGTTAATAATCAACCAATAATCACACAATCAAAGGAATTTAATATATTTATTAGCATGGTAATTAAGAAATTACATTTGTATTTTTGTCTAAGTTTTCATTAAAATCTGGTATAAATTTCAAAGATATTTTAATTTTTTGTATAAAGCTTAAAAAAAAAATAATCATAAAACATTCGTATTTTTGTCTAAGTTTTCATTAAAATCTAGTATAAAATTCAAGTAATTCAACTTTTTTTATTTAGTTTACCAAAAAAAAAATCATAAAACTTTCGTATTTTTTAATATATTTTTAATGGTACGAGTTTGCAGTGGTACGAGTTCTGATTGGTACGACTTCCCAGTGGTACGAGTTTACGTTGGTACGAGTTTACAATGGTACGAGTTAACTTGCTTCTGTACAAAGTATGCATTGCTAATGGAAGTTCATTTAATTATCAAAAAACTAATGTTTTATAACCTTTTTCAGGGCACAAACCCACCATACAGAGACTTAAGTCTACTGCCAATCCCAGCCTATTTTCCTGGACCAAGCAAGAGACTGAATCGTCCGCAAAAAGAAAAATGAGGGCAGTTTCCTGTGAAAACAAAAGAACTAA